TCCATTTTGAGACTTCTTGTTACTGTGTTTGGCATATACATCACTGGTAGCTTGCCAGGCTTTGCTGTGTGGGCGAGATACTCTTGGTAGCTTGCCAGGCTCTCTACGAGAGGCGGAGGAATTGAACCCGGCTCAGCCGGGCTGGCTGCGCACAAGGCAAACACCCTACCGCTGTGCTATCGCTCCAGCCCATGATGTATCATAATAAGGTATATTACATACTATATATGGTCTGCGTTGTGTTTTGGGGCCCTTGGCGTGGAATTGCTGACTCTTATGGAAACTCAATTCCTAGTTTTGTTTGGATTTTGTTTTGGGGCCACACCTGGCAGCGCTCATGGATTACTCCTGGCTCTGCACTCACGAATCTCCTGGTGGTGCTCAGGGGACCATATGGAATGCTGGGGATCGAACCTGGGTCGAGTGCATGCGAGTCAAGCACCCTAGCCTCTGTACTATCTCTCCAGCCCCTCAATTTCTAGGTTTTTGAAGATTGTCCATATTGTTTTTCAAAACGGACTAGTCAACATTCCCACCAGTGTTTCAGCATTTCCAACAATATCACACGATTATTTACTTTGTTAAATTTCAAATAGCAAAAATAGAATGTTTTATTTTATTATTATTATTTTTGCTTTTTGGGTCACGCTCGGCAATGCAAAGGGGTCACTCCTGGCTTGCACTGAGGAATTACTCCTGGCGGTGCTCGGGGGACCATATGGGATGCTGGGAATTGAATCCGGGTTGGCTGTGTGCAAATGCCCCACCCACTGGCTTTGCTTTTTGGGGGGGCTTTGCTCCAGTCTCCAAAATAGAATGGTATATTTTAAAAGTAATAAGTAATACCTGGTCAGTCTTTCATGATCTACTATACCTCTTTCCCCATCATTTGATAATTTCAAGGTGTCAAGCATTTCAAGACTAGAGGCTTCATTTGGCATTTCTACAAAATAATTCTTAAAAACTCCCCCTTCCCCAGTTCCATGAATACATCGAAAATATAGCAATTTCCTGATTGCACCAAAGATTAGATAGAAATTTCATCTGTTGCTCGGCATTTTTTTTTCCAGTCATTTTGTTTAAGATCCAACAGTCCCATGTTGGACATGGATGGGCATAGCTCTCTCTCTCCACATTGCATTTGATTGGCCTCTTGCCAGTGCTGGGGATTGCACATGGGCAAGACACGTGTTCTGCCACGGAGCCTATCCACTGTGTCTCCCGCCACTCTTCCCCTCTGTTCACTGTGTGATGATCCGGGGTCTTCCACTTTCATTCCAATGCTTGCCTCCAGGCTCACAAGGGACCATATTCCTGGCCGCTCTGCACCCAGGACCACACACTTGAGTAGTGATATTCTCACAGAGGGGACTGTGGGTTGGAGATCACACATTGTTGTAATTAGCAGAGCTACTGGAATGACCCCCATCAAGTGGGTGGAAGGTCTTAGGCACAGGACCTAGATATGCAGAGTGATTTAATCCTCCACAACACTAGGAAGGAGGAAGTGTGTGTGTGTGTGTGTGTGTGTGTGTGTGTGTGTGTGTGTGTGTCTGTGTATTTGGCTTTTTGGGTTACCCCTGGCGGTGCTCAGCAGTTACTCCTGGCTCTGCACTCAGGAATTACTTCTGGTAGTTCTTAGGAGACCCTATGAGATACTGGGAATTGAACCCGGGTCAGCTACGTGCAAGACAAATGCCTTCCCCACTGTACTATCACTCTGGCCCAGGAGGAAATATTCTTACCCCCTTTTCTTTACTTTTTATTTTGGTTGGTGGTGGGCTTTTGGGCCACACCTTGCGGTCCGGAGAGGCTACTCCCAGCTGGCTTCACTCCCAGTGGTCTCAGGGTGTCAGGGACCATATATGGTACCAGGGATTGAATCGGCATCAATTGCATGCAAGGGAGTACCTTAACCATGATATTCTCTCTCTGGTCCGTAGTTTTCATGGAGGTGCCAGATCTGGAAGCCAAGACCCCAGATGTGCAAGATACATGCTCTTTCACTCCATCTAGCTCCCATTCTCAACACAAACATTTAAAAAAAAAAAAAAAGAGGGGCCAGAGCAATACTACAGGAGGTCAGATGCTTGCCTTCACATAACTGACTTGGGTTCAATCATTTGGTATCTTGTAGAGTCCCCTGAGCTCCGCCAGGAGTGATCCCTGTGCAAAGAGCCAGGAGTAAGCCTAAGCACCAACAGATGTGGCTCAAAAGCCAACAATAACACAACAACAACAACAATAAAAAGTGGGGTTGAAAAAAGAACAGGGGCCTGAGCGATAGTACAGCAGGTTGGGCATTTGCCTTGCATGCAGCTGACCCGGGTTCAAGTCCCAGCATCCCATATCATTCCCCAAGAACTTCCAGGAATAATTCCTGAGTGGAGAGCCAGGAGTAACCCCTGAGGATCACCAGGTGTGACCCAAAAAAAGCAAAAATCCCGAAAAACAATAATACCCCTCCTCCCCCAAAAGTACATCTATCACACAGAAAAAATAAAGGTACTGGGTTGTTGAATGTGTTAGTGTTTTGAAAAGTGGGCAAAATAGCTTTATTATTATTATTATTACTGGGCTGGAGCGATAGCACAGCGGTAGGGCGTTTGCCTTGCACGCAGCCAACATGGCCGACCCGAGTTCGATTCCTCCGCCCCTCTTGGAGAGTCCGGCAAACTACCGAGAGTATCTCGCCCGCACGGCAGAGCCTGGCAAGCTCCCCGTGATGTATTCGATATGCCAAACACAGTAACAACAAAATCTCCAACGGAGACGTTACTGGGCCCGCTCGAGCAAATCGATGAACAACGGGAGGGCCTTTACCTTTACCTTTTACTTTAAATTTTGGTTTTGGGGCTACACCTGGTAGTGCTTACAGCTTACTCCTGGCTCTGCAATCAGGGATCACTCCTGGTGGGGTTCAGGGGATGATATGGGGTGCCAGTGAGAAAACCCAGGTGTGTGTGTGTGGGATTGAATCAGACTTGGCTGTGTGCAAAACAAGCACTCTACCCACTGTACTATCTCTCCGGCCCCAGAAAATAATTTTAAACCTGGGTATGGCAAGGACAGAGAGGAAGATGATTCTTAATTCTGACAAGTCAGGACAGGGGAATAGAAGCTAAGAATCAAGTCTCTGGAGGATTTTGGATTTGTTCATGTCAGTACTGACTTAGCTACTTATTAACTGCATGAATTCAGACTTGGTCAATCTCTCTTAAATCATGCTCTCCTCATTTGTAAAATAGACTTTATAATAATAGGGCTTATGAGAGTTAAATACGATAAGGGTTTGGCTCAATGCCCAGCACACTGTGAATATAATGTAATTATATATAATGACACATCTAAGCCACACATATGCAGAGTATGTATACCACATAGAAAGATAATAATTTACCCAGCCCATGTCAAAAAAGGAGTCATCAAGCTGGGCTCTTGAATGCATGGGCATTTTTAAAAAAGCAATTTAAGATATAACAAGGTTCACAAACTTCCCTCTGTGAAAACAGTTTTTGATCATTCCATTAGCCATTTAGGGGTAACAAGCAAAATAAAATAAATTACCGTGGACATGTTACAGAGGCAGGCCTGAGGGGTGGTTGGGAACATGGACAATAGTGGAGGAAAGGTGACACTGGTGGTGAGTTGGGGGTTGGAATATTGAACGCCTGTAACAAATCAGCACGAACGACTTTATAAACTGCTGTGTTTAAATAAAGTAGAGGTAAAATAAATTCATAACCATACAAAGATATTCAAATAGTTAATGGGTAATTTTTTTTTCTTTATGGGTCACTCCCGGCGATGCTCAGAGGTTCCTCCTGGCTCTGCACTCAGGAATTACTCCTGGCGCTGCTGGGGGGGAGTGGGACCATATGGAATGCTGGGATTCGAACCTGGGTCTGCCGAGTGCAAGGCAAACGCCCGATCCGCCCTTCTATCGCTCCAGCCCCTCATGGGTAATATTTTTGCTCTTAGAATACTTTATGTGATCAAATCACTTGATAAGTGTTTAGAGGGCCAGAAAATGGAAATAGAGAATTTTCAGAGGAATAATTTTCTAGGAGGAAAGTGGAGGACGGTCCTCTGCCCTAGTCTGTCCCTTGGCTGGGAGGGAAGGGACTCGGTGTCCGGAAGAATATTTTATTCCCTGTGATCGGGAAAGATATGGGAGCGAGAGGCTGGAGTGACAGTATAGTGGGAAGGGGGCTTGCCTTGCGCGCGCCTGAGTCTGGTTGATCAATCGTGGGACTGAGTCCTATTGCCAGGACTGCGTCCTGAGCACCGAGTCAGGCGTAGGTTCTGAGTACAGACAGGTGTGGTCCAACATCGCCACCCCGCAAAAAAGGAAGAAGAAAAAAAAAGATAGTGGAAAGTATTCTCAAGTGATAGGTCAAGTCATCCAGAGGGTCGAAAAGCATTTTCACACTGTCGAGTTTTGTCAAGGCCTTGCGGGGTGGCCAAGGCGAGCAGCAAGAAGGCGTCCCCCGCGACCACCGAGGCTGCACGCGCGGGAGAGGCTCCATCTCCCGGTGTCCGGTGCGGGATGTCTGCCCCGAAGTCCACTCGGCACCCCCCCCCCCCCCCCGTCCCCACCCATTTCCCCAGCCGTGGCTGGCGTCCGGGAGGTCCCGAGCTCGGGTAACGAAGGCATCTCTGTGGCCGCATCCCGGGATCCACTGGCTGGGGCGGACAGAGAAGCCCCAGGAAGGGCGTGGAGGGGACAGCGGTGGCGAGAGTTGTCGTCCTTCGGCGCCGCGCTGGCCCCTAGGTGCGCGGCCGCTCGGAGTCGGAGCGCAGCCCGGGACCTGGGCCGCCGGGACGGTGCGCGGGACCGCGGCCAGGCGGGATGCGGGATGCGGGATACGGGATGCAGGATGCGGGATGCGGGATGCGGGATGCGGGATGCGGGATGCGGGCGCCTGGGGGGGGTCGGCTGGGGCCCGCGCGCGGCCGCTCGCGCCTCCTTAAGCGGCGCGGGGTGGCGGCGGCGGCGGCGGCCCGGCGGGCGGGGGCGGGGGAGGGGCGCGAGCGCGGCGCCGAGGCCGGGGAGGAGCCGGGGCCTGCAGCGGAGCCGAGCCCGAGCCCGAGCCCCAGCCGAGCCCCGACACGGCCCGCCCGGCCTGCCGCCTTCCCCGGGAGCCCCGAGCCGGCCGGAGCCCGAGCGCGCCCCGCGCCACCCCCGGGAGCGGAGCGGACGGGACGGGGGACTCCGAGGAGGCGCTGGCGCCGCCCGCGCCCGCGACGGGAGTCGGGAGCCGCGGCCTCCCGGCGCCAGCTGCCCAGGCCAGCGCGGGGAGAGCGGGGAGGACGCGATCCCCACCCTCGGGTCACCCCCCCACCAGCCGCGGGGGCCGGAGCGCGGACCTTTCGCCGTCGGGCGCGGGCGCGGGGAGCCTCCCTCCCGCCCCCCCGTGGGGCGCCGCCGCGGCGCTCGGTGCGATAGAGGCGAGCGCAGCCCCCCGCGCAGGCCCGCGACGAGACGCCCAGAAGTGCAAAAGGGGGTGATCCTTCCCGGAGGAGGTTAGGGGGAGCCCGGCCCGGCGCGCCGCCGCCGCCGCCGCCCCTTGCAAGCGCGCGACTCCGGGCGCGGCGGGACTTTGGAGGCGGTGAGCTCCGTGCGCGCCGTCGGTGCGAGCCGGTACTCACGGGGCAGCGGCGTCCTGACATCCACGAGCGGGGCCCACGCCCGGGAAAGCAGGGGGGTCGGCGTCCAGGAGAGGGGAGCAGCTCCCCCCGTTCATCCCCTGCGCCTCGACGGCGCGGCCGGGCCGAGCCCGAGCCCTCGGCGCCGAGCTCCTCCCGCCGACCTCAGGAGCCCTCCACTCTCCAAAGAGCCAGTTTGGGGGGGAGGGGGACTCCCCCAAGGGGGAGGAGACAGCGCCTGGTCGGGAGACGCCCCTCCCCTCCTCCCCAGGGTTGCCGGCCGGGGCTGGGGGGTGTACCACCTCCCCCAGGTAGGGCCTCCGTCTCCTCCTCCTCCTCCCCCCCAGCGCCCCTCCGCTCCGCACCCTCTGGGAACCCACTTCCCCTCCGCGGCGGCGGCGGCGGCGGCGGCATGGGAGGCTCTGCCGAGCACAGGAAGAGCCGCGGATGACGATGAGACTCTTCGGCTCCCTTTGAAGAGGGGGATCCCGGCACCCTCCAACGCCACTAGCAGGTGGTTCCCGCCCTTGGCTGGGGGCACCTTGGAGACCGGTGAGTTACTTCTCTTGGGTCTCTGCGGCCCGAGTTTTTTTTTTTTTAATGGGAGGGGGGATATGGCTGGGGTCTGGGGTGCGGGCAGAGAGGGTGGCTTTTGGGATCCTGTCCTGGAATTCAGAGAAGTAACTCTGAATTCCAGAGGTCCTGAGGGGCTGTGTGTGCTGCGGCGGGTCGGGATTCGAACCCTCAACTCCCAGAGTTCGGCGGATTCGAACCCTCAACTTCCAGAGTTGGGCATCTCAGCGTTTGGCTTTTACTGGAGGTCCCTAGGGAAGTGTCGGTTCCCAGCTGGGGCACAGGGACAGCAGAAAGCACTTGTGTCATCAAGTGTGAGCCCGTCCAGACTTCTGGACCCAGCTCCATCCTTTTCTGTTCTCTTCCTGGACAGCTGGGTGCTATTCCTCTGGTGGGACAGCTTCTTACCTGTTGCCCCAGGCCAGTTCGGTGCCCTCCGAGAGCTGTTCTTTCCAACCCACTGAGCTGCCTGGCCCTACTCCTGGTTCTTAGACTCCTGTAGGGTCGCCCGGTTCCCCACTGACCACATTCCTCAGCCAATGAAATCCGAAGGGAGAGAGAGGGTCGACGTGGAGCTGCTGGATTAAACTTCTCCCGGGTGCTGGGCTAGTTCCCCAGGCCCCCTCCAGGCCCCTTATCCTCTGGTGAGGGGGAGATGCAGGGTATTGGAGCGACTCTCACCTTCCATTCTTCTCTGGGCCACCTCCGGGATGTGAGCTCTGAGGGGCTTCTCCGATCTCATGCACTCCCTGCCCTGTTTCTTTTTTGTTTGTTTGTTTTTGCTTTTTGGGTCACACCTGGCAATATACGGGGGTTACTCCTGGCTTTGCACTCAGGAGTTACTCCTGGTGATGCTTAGTGGACCCTATGGGATGCTGGGAATTGAACCCGGGTCAGCCGCGTGCAAGGCAGCTGCCCTACCCGCTGTGCTATCTCTCCAGCCCCCCTTGTCTGATTCTTGTTTGGTTCCTGGGACCTTGGGTTTCCCTTCTGTGCCGTCAGAGAGGCGTGAGCTGCTTCTTGGCTCTGGGAAAAGGTGCTGGGAACATCCCTTCATGCAGCGCCATGGGTTTTTATCTTTGGTTTTGGTACCGCGCCTAGTGGCCTTACTCCTGGCTCTGTGCTCAGGCCTCCCACCTGGTGGGGCTCAGGGGACCATCTGGGGTGCTGGGGATTGAACCCGGCTGGACAGTGTACGAGGCCAGTGCCCTCTCTGCTGTCGTATCTCTCTGGTCCTTCCTTGGGCTCTTCACTGCCTCCGCTGCTGTGTCCTGGGTGGGCTCTGCACCAGCTACTGGGTCCTGGCACCCCTGCCAGGTGGTGATGAGTGTGAACACACTCAAACGAGCGTTTCAGCGCGGCTGACGTGTGTGGAGGGCCAGGAGTGGGGGTGGGGCGGGGTGTTTCCTGGCCGACTCTGGAATCCCCTAGGCCGATGTGTTTCCTTTGGAAGCAGGGAGCCCTGGGCCAGGATCTCCCCGTAAGAGTGAGCTGGGGGCCTGGGGACTGTGACCAGCAGGGAGTCAAGCTCCTGGGAGCCCTTGTCTGGGGGGTTGGAGTGAATGAATTGGCCCAGACATTCCTTTCTCCAGGACTGAGCACAGCACCCCATTTCTGATATCCCTGGTCTCAGAGGCATAAAGAGCCCTGACTTGGGAGCTAGAACTCTCCCCACCCCAGCTGGGGGAGGGTGTGTGTGTGTGTCTGTGTCTGTGTGTGTGTGTGTGTCGAGGCCAGCTGCGTGGTTCTTACAAAGTACTTTTCGGTGTGTGTTTGTGTGTCTGTGTGTCTGTCTTGAGACCAGCTGCGTGGTTCTTACGAAGCACTTTTCCAGATGCTGGAATGCAGCCCCTCATCTTCATGGGTACCCCCCGCTGCAGTCAGTGTTCCTGGGACCCAGCGTCCCAAATTAGTTTGCTTCTGTGGAACTCAGCATCGGGCCACTGCGTTTGATTACCTGTGATGTCGAGAATGCTGTTTTCCAGATCCTGTCTTAGAGTCTTGACCTTCCCCCAGCCCCCCCCCCCCCAGCCACTCCCCAAAATATGAATTGTGAGTCCCCTCTCTCTTCCTCCGAGGGAGTTTCTCCTCAGTCTTGGCATTACTGGGGTGATGCAGTTCCCAAAGGAAAAAAAATTGCGGGACGTTTTGCTGTCCTGAAAACTTTTGCAGGCTTTGCAGTGAGAAGCCCTGCTGGCTGGGACAGACAGTCCCCGGGAGGTGGCTTACAGGCTGCAGCTGACCCTGGTTTGGTCTCTGGCACCGCCACGAGGAGTGACCTCTGAGCACAGAGCCAGGAGGAAGCCCTGAGCACTGCCAGGTGTGGCCCAAAAAACCCAACCAAAACACAGCTGCTTCCTTGAGGCGCTCTTAGTTTACAGGTGAATCAATCTCTCTCTCTCTCTCTCTCTCTCTCTCTCTCTCTCTCTCTCTCTCTCTCTCTCTCTCTCCTTCCTTATTCAAAAACTGGAACTGCAGTCAGGACTTACTAAGTGCCCTTAAAGTTACCTGGGGATGCAGAGACCAGACAAGGCACCTGGTCCCGAGGGGCTGACCCCACTTCTCTCCCTGGTATCAAATGTCATCTCCTGTGGCTTCTGAGCACTGCTGGATGGGGCCCAAATCCCTCCTCTTCTCCCCCCCCCCCCCCCCCGCCGAAATAGAGCACCCAAGGTGATCTTTAGAGTAACCCACCGGAGTGTTCTCATCTCTATTTTATTATCATTAGTATTATCCTTTCCGGGTTTGGAGGTCACCCCCAGCGGCGCCTAAGGCTTGCTCCTGGCTCTGTGCTCAGGGCTTATTCTTGACTCTACACTCAAGGATCACATTTTATTTTTTTTGAATTTTCAGGCCACACCTGGCGGTGCTCAGGGTTTCCTCCCGGCTCTGTGCTCAGGAATTGAACCTGGCGAACACCTTCCTTCCGTATAGGCCTCTGTAGCCCCACAGTTCGGTTTAATCGGTGAATAACTCACTGTGAAGGCATGATCAGGAGGCCGGGGGGCCCAGGAGGTCTCAGGGAGGTGGTACTGGGGGCCAGTGCTCAGTTCATCTTGGATGTTCCGGGCAGAGCAGGACTCTGGCTCCTGGTCCCATTTCTGCACAAGGCCCCGGCCTTGCAGATCTGTGGGCTCACACACCCTGCTGTGCCCGGTGGGTCTCACACAGCCCCTGTGAGATGGGGCTCGCACCCCCACAAAACGCTCTCTGTTTTCCTCTGCCCTTCACCCAGCCCCGAAGCCGGCTGCCAGCACCTGTGGATGTGACAGAGCCTGCCCGCTGGCCGCCTCTCCCCGTGTCTGTGGGCCCGTTTCCTTTCGTCCTGCCAGGACGTAGGGGTGAGTGTGACTGGCCCCAGGCGCTGCCCCAGTACCCCGGCGCCCACCTGGTCTGAGAGGTGTGGGGAGACAGGTCGCCGGTGCAGGGACATGGGAATGCCTCTTGTTTGCCTTTCTAATAATAGCTCAGGAGAGTAGCCACAAGCCATTATTTTGGGGCGCGTGGAATGTGAGGCTGCCGTGGAGTCCCGACTTCAGCTTCATTCACTTGTGGGCGCTTTGGGGGTGAGGAGTGGGGGTCAGGGAAGATTTGGTGCAGAGTTTATGATTTCATGCTTCCCCCCTCTTTTTCTCATTCTTTCTTTTTCTTTCTTTCCTTCCTTTCTTTCTCTTTTTTCTTTCTTTTTCTTTCTCTTTCTTTCCATTCTTTTCTTTTTCTTTCTTTTTCTCTTCCTTTCTTCTTCTCTTTCATTTTCTTTTCTTTTTTCTTTTTCTTTCTCTTTCTTTCCATTCTTTCTTTTTCTTTCTTTTTCTCTTTCTAACTTTCTTCCTTTCTTCCTCTCTTTCGTTTTCTTTTTTTTTTTTTTTTGTGCATTTTTGGGTCACACCCAGCAATGCTCAGGGGTTCCTCCTGGCTCTGCACTCAGGAATTACTCCTCGCCGTGCTGGGAGACTATGGAGGATGCTGGGAATCGAACCCAGGTCAGCCGCATGCAAGGCAAACACCCTACCCGTTGTGCTATGGCTCCAGCCCCTCTTTCTCTCTTTCTTAATATTGGCTCACGCCCCGCGATGCTCAGGGGTTCCTCCTGGCTCTGCACTCAGGGAATCACCCCTGGCAGGTGCTCGGGCCACCCTCCAGGATGCCGGGGATCCAGCCTGGGTCAGCCATAGGCAAGCAAGCGCCCTCTCCACTGTACTTTTGTTCCGGCCTCTTTCTTTTGGATGGAAGGGGAAACTGAGGCATGGGACCTTGCAGGGAGCCAGAGGGGCAGTTTCCTGAGTCAGTGTCCAGAGTGGGACTGGAATTGGGCAGTGCAGCCTCTGCACTGGCCTTCCAAGAATGGGGAAGCACTGGGGGGTGGGGTGGAGTTGGTGGGATGGGGCTGAAGAGCCCAGAGGCTGCCCCCACCCTCCACCCCCCACCCCCCACCCCCCAGCCCGCCTGCTGCCAGCATCTTGTAGCCGCTCTGCCTGGAATGTATTTTGAGTCCCGAGGGCTGACCCGGAGGGTGCTGGGGAAAGGTTAAATTTAACCTACAGTGCCCTAACCTGCCGCAGGCAGGCGCAGTGGGGGGTGGGGAGGGAGGGTTGTGGTGTAAGAGAGAGGGAAGGACATGCGGCTGGAAGCGTAAAAGGTCCGGGCGAGCTTCCCTGCTTGGCGTTGAGGGTGCCCGGCCGGTGCCCGCCAGGCTCCGTAACCCACTGTGAGTGCTCTGTTGCGCCTTGTGCAGTTTTGGGAGCGTTTCAGATGAGCTGTCCTGTCCGCAGAGGGCGGCTCTGGCTCTTAAGATAACATTTCCCCCAGCCCCGGTGCTTTGCTTATCAGCAAGGAGGGCTCCAGCTTGGGGTTCTGTGTAGAACCCCCGTGGGCCCCCGGCCCCCGCCCCCCCAACCCGCGGGGCTGCCAGCTCAGAGCCCCAGTGCAAGCCCCCAGCCCAGCCAGACCCAAGGCCTGGGAGGCTTCCTGGAGGGATGACACTTCCCCGCTGGGGTCCCAAGTGTCTCGGGTGTTGGGGGGGCAGGATGGTGGGGGTTGATTGAAGGGCAGGGGTGTGGGGGGGAGCCGGAGCCTAGGAGCCAGGGAGAAACCCCTGCAGAGTGCTATTTATAAACGTGGCCTTTTGTGTGCGTGGCTTTTGCTTTTTGCAGCCCTGGCGGGGGAGACTTGGGGGGGGGGGGTGGCGGGTAGTGTTGGCTGCGGGTCCCGGCTGCCCAAGCCCCCGGGGGCGCTCTGGAGTTTCCTGCAGCCCAGCGGAGTGGGTGTGTTGGCGGTGAGACGCAGCCCGGGCCGGGCCCGGGGAAGCATGCTTGGACGTGCAGAGATCGCGCGGGCGTGGGGGTGGGGGTGCGGTAGACGAAAGCCGACGCCCCCTCCCTCCCCACACACTCCTTCCACACCCCCCCTTAGGGGAAAGGGCGAGTGACGGGGGAGAAGGACCAGCTGGGAGGGGCGCCCCTGGCGGGCGGCCCAACGTGTGCCGCGCCGGGGGGAGTTGTGAGCGCGCGCGCTGCCCGACGTGGGCCTGGCCGTCCAACCCCGCCGAGCCCGGGGACGGGGACGTGCCGTGTACGGGCTTGTGCCGCCGAGCTGGGTGTGGAGGTCGAGATTCCAGGCATACTGCGTCTCTCTGCCCGGGATTCTGACCTCTGGGCCGGGCTGGCGGCTTCCAGGCCGACGACGACGACGACGCACCGGCTGGAATCTGGTGGCGCGCGCGTGTGCGCGCAGAAACCTGTCCTAGCTGGGGAGGCCGCCGAGTGGCACCCACCACCCTCTTCTCCCTCATCACACCGCGCAGAAACCTGTCCTGGCCCGGGAGGCCGCCGAGTGGCACCCACCACCCTCTTCTCCCTCGTCACAACGCCGTGCCAGCAGGAGCGCCCAGCGGTATGGGTGGGTGGAAGCGGGATGGGCAGACCCGGGACGTGGGAGGGAGGCTTGGCAGCACCCAGAGTTTGCACGGAGGTGCGGCGAGCCTGCGTGCCTGGCTGGGAAGGAGGGAGCCAGCGAGGAGGAGCAGGAGGAGGAGGAGGAGCAGGAGGAGGACGGCTAGCTGGGCGGCAGTGGGGCGGGAGCCAACTCCCCGCCCGACGGGCTATTTTTAGCGACCGTCTGATTGTTCCCGGTGTGCACAGAGCTGGGTGTCTCCCTGGCTGGGGGAGGTGGGAGGGCCTGGAGAGGACTTGTGCTCTGTCTTGGGGGGCTGGCATCGCAGTGGGGCGCTCGCTGGGTGCCCTCCTCTGGGACACTGTGCCGTCCGGTGGTCAGGTGCCATGCGGTGTGTCTGGTTGTGCACTGTGTGTGTGTGTGTGTGTGTGTGTGTGTGTGTGTGTGTGTGCTAGCGCACAGGGACAAAGTAATCAAAGGTATCTCCTACGAAGTACCTTTTTGGGCCTGGAGCAATAGTACAGCCGGGAGGGCGTTTGCCTTGCACACCGCCGACCCGGTTCGATTCCCAGCATCCCATATGGTCCCCTGAGCACCTGCTAGGAGTAATTTCTGAGTGCAGAGTCAGGAGGAACCCCTGTGCATCGCCAGGTGTGACCCCCGGCCCTCTTCCCAAAAAGTACCTTTATGAGCTGGAGTGGAGGGATAGTTCAGCAGGTAGGATGAACGTTTGCCTTGCACATGGCAGACGTGGATTCCATCCTCAGCAACCCCTGTGGTCCCCAGTCCCCACCAGGAATGAGCCCTGAGTGCACAGCTGAGAGAGAGAGAGAGAGAGAGAGAGAGAGAGAGCGCTGTTTAAGGGGATCAGATGTGCTTCATTGGGGGTGTAGTTGCGTTTTACTCAGAGGGGTTTCCCTCTGCAGAATCGCATGTAATAGAACAGTCATCTGCCCTGGTGAATAGGGTTTGTCTAATTTTGCCTGCGAAGTGGCCCTTATTTTCTTTTAGGCTTGGGGGGCCACATGCAGCTGTGCTCAGGGCTGCCTTTGGACCCCAGGGCCTGTGGGGGCTCAGACTCAGGGCTGCAGCCTGCAAAGCCTGTGTTCCACCCTTTCAGTCTTTCTCTCGGGCCCCAGAATGTTTTGCTTTCTAAAAATGGCATTAAATGTATTTATTTACATTTTTTTGGGAGGTCCACACCCAGTGGTGCACAGGCCTTCTGCTTGGCTCGGAGCCCAGAGATCTCTCCTGATGTGGCTTGGGGACCATTGGGGAGGCTGGGGATCGAACCCGGTCAGCTGTGAGCAGGGCAAGCACCTTACCTGCTATTCTATCTCTCCCACCCCAGTTTTGCTTTATTTAAAAATATTATATTCATAGGGGCTGGAGTGATAGCACAGTGGGTAGGGTATTTGCCTTGTAAGCGGCCGACCCGGGTTCAATTCCCAGCATCCCATATGGTCCCCTGAGCACCGCCAGGAGTAATTCGTGAGTGCAGAGCCAGGAGTAACCCCTGTGCATCGCTGGGTGTGACCCAACAAGAAAAAGAATATATGTATGTATATTCATATATGTGTGTGCGTATTTTTTTGGGGGGAGGGTATTTTGGCCACAGCTGACTGCATTCAGGAGTCACTCCTGGTCGACTTGGGGACCATATGAATGCCAGGGATTGAACCTGGGTCAGCTGCATGCAAGGCAAGTGCCCTACCCACTGTTCTAAATGCTGATCCCTATGTATGTGTATTTCTAGTCAGGATTTTTTTTTTTTTTTTGGGCTTACTCAGTGGTGTGTTGGGCTTCTGACTTTGTGCTCTGGAATCACTCTTTTTTTTTAACTTTTTTTTTCTTTTTTGCTTTTTTTTGGGGGTCACACCTGGCGATGCACAGGAGTTTCTCCTGGCTCTGCACTCAGGAATTTCCCCTGGTGCTGCTCAGGGGACCATATGGGATGTTGGGAATCGAACCCGGGTTGGTCACGTGCAAGGCAAATGCCCTACCCGCAATGCTATCATTACAGCCCCTGGAATCACTCTTTCTTTTTATTCTTTTTGGGTCACACCCAGTGATGCTCAGGGGTTACTCCTGGCTCTGCACTCAGGAATTACTCCTGGCGGTTCTTGGGGGACCATATGGGATGCCAGGGATTGAACCCAGGTGGGCTGCGTGCAAGGCAAATGCCCTACCCACTGTGCTATCACTCCAGCCCCTCTGGAATCACTCTTGGTGGCGCTCAGGATACCACATGTCCACGTGTACAGCAAGCATCCTACCTGCTATACTATTCCTCTGCCTCTTGTTTCTACAGCGTTTTGAAGTATTATGTTGTGTGCTTTCGGTAATGAGAGCCGAGTGACTGGTCCAGTTGGTTGCTGGTTGGATGGCTCTTTTTTCTGGTTTTTGTTTTGCGTTTTTGGGAGAGGTCATACTCGGCCATGCTCAAGGGTTCCTCCTGACCGTGCACTTAGGAATTACTCTTTGGGGGTGGAGCAATAGCACAGCGGGGTAGGGCATTTACCGACCTGTGGCCGACCTGGGTTCGATTCCCAGCATCCCATATGGTCCCCTGAGCACTGCCAGGGGTAATTCCTGAGTGCAGAGCCAGAAGTAAGCCCTGTGCATCCCCGGGTGTGACCCAAAAAGCACAATGCATTGTAGCACTGTCCTCCCGTTGTTCATCGATTTGCTCGAGAGGGCACCAGTAATGTCTCCATTGTGAGACTTGTTGTTACTGTTTTTGGCATATCAAGTACTCCACAGGTAGCTTGCCAGGCTTTGCCGTGCGGGCGGGATACTCTCAGTAGCTTGCCGGGCTCTCCGAGAGGGGCGGAGGAATTGAGCCTGGGTTGGCTGTGTGCAAGGCAAACACCCTACCCGCTGTGCTATTGCTCCAGCCCGACCCAAAAAGCAAAAAAAAAAAAGAAAAAAATTACTCTTTTTGGAGCTGGGGGAACCATATGGGGTGTCGGGGATTGAACCCAGGTCTGCTGCGTGCGCTGCCCACTGTACTCTCCCTCCGTCTCCTCCTGGAGACCTGCAGGAAGGTCTCGTCTGCCGTCGAGTTGGGCGAAGTTCCGGTGCATTACCTGGCAGATGACTGGCGATCGACCGCCTGTTTGGGGGTCCTGGAAAGACCTGGTTGGGGGCTTCCCCGGTTACCGTGGAAACTGTTGCCTACCTCCCTGGGGTGGGCCTAGTCCCCGCCGGTCAGTAAGCCCCGCTGCTTTGCGTTTGTCTCTGCAGAGCCCAGAGGCACCATGGCCTCGGACCTGGAGAGCAGCCTGACCTCCATCGACTGGCTCCCCCAGCTGACGCTGCGCGCCACCATCGAGAAGCTCGGGAGCGCCTCGCAGGCCGGACCCCCCGGCGGCAGCCGCAAGTGCCCCCCGGGCTCCCCCACGGATCCTAACGCCACGCTGAGCAAGGACGAGGCGGCGGTCCACCAGGACGGCAAACCCCGCTACAGCTACGCCACCCTCATCACCTACGCCATCAACTCCTCCCCCGGCAAGAAGATGACCCTGAGCGAGATCTACCGCTGGATCTGTGATAACTTCCCCTATTACAAGAACGCCGGCATCGGCTGGAAGGTGAGCGATGCCCCGTGCCCCAAGGCTGGCCCCCTGCCACCGTCTGCACGATTCTCTCTCCACAGTGGGTAGGGCGTTTGCCTGGCACGCGCCTGGGTTCGATTCCTCCATCTCTCTCGGAGAGCCCGGCAAGCTACCGAGAGTATCTCGCCTGCATGGCAAAGCCTGGCAAGCTCCCCGTGGCGTATTCGATATTCCAAACACAGTAACAAGTCTCACGATGGAGACGTTACTGGTGCCCGCTCGAGCAAATTGATGAACAATGGGAGGACAGTGCAGTGCTACAGTGCTATTATTATTATTATTATTATTATTATTATTATTGGCTGGAGTAATAGCACAGCAGGTAGGGCATTTGTGTTGCACGTGGTCCACGTGGCCGACCCAAGTTCGGTTCTTCCACCCCTCTCGGAGAGCCCGGCATGCTACCGAGAATATCCCACCCGCATGGCAGAGCCTGGCAAGCTACCCATGACGTATTTGACATGCCAAACATAGTAACAAGTCTCACAATATTACTAGGCCTGCTCAAGCAAATCGATGAACAATGGGAGGACAGTGACAGTGATTATTATTATTATTATTATTATTGGGGTCCCACCCGCTCATGCTCAGGTCAGAGGTTGTTCCTGAGATTGAACTTAACCTCTCACCGTCTTTTGGGACTTTTCTTTCTTCTTTTATTTTTTATTATTATTATTTTGGTTTGGTTTTGTACTATTTTTTCACACCCAGCGATGCTTAGGGGTTACTCCTGGCTTTGCATTCAGGAATTAACTCCTGATGGTGCTTGGGGTCCCCTAGAGGATGCGGGGGATCAAACCCGGGTTGGCCACATGCCAGGCAAATAACCTATCTGCTGTATTGTCACTCCAGTCCCATTATTTTTATTTTGGGGCCACACCTGGTGATGCTCAGCGATTGCTTCATGCTCTTGCACTCAGGAATCACTTCTGGTGGTGTTCAGGGGACCAGCAGGGATGTGAGGGAATCGACCCCAGGTTGGTCCCTTGCAAAGCAATACCTTCCCCGCTGTGCTATGGGTCCAGCCCCTTATTTTTTTTTTGAGGTAGTGGGGAGGTGGTTGCGGCCACTTCTCAGGGCTGGTTGGGGGCTCTTCCTGGCTCTGTGCTCAGGACTCAGCCCTGGCAGTACTTGGGGGACCAGAAGTGGTGCCAGGGATTCGAACCCCAGTTACCGGAAGTGCAATGTGAGGCAAGCACCCAACGCTCTGTTCTCTCCCTCTCTGCCCATCCTTTTGTATACCCTGATCTGATTCCCTCCGACCCATTACAGAGACATGCGGACTTGAGCTCTTATGCTCCTGCCCCTTACATGATTTTTAAAAAAACTTAATTGTTTTGGTTTGGGGAGCCAGCCAGTGGTGCTCAAGGGCTGACTCCTGACTCTGTGCTCAGGGATCCCTCCTGGTTGGGCTCGGGGGACCATATGGGATGACCAGGATCGAACCCGGGTCGGCCGCATGCGAGGCAAGCAAGCTGCCTACCTGTCGTATTATTGCTCGGGCCCTTCCTGATGATGATGATGATGATGATTTTTTGCTTTTTGGGTCACACCCAGCCGATGCTCAGGGGTTCCTCCTGGCTCTGCACTCAGGAATCACTCCTGGCGGTGCTTGGGGGACCCGATGGGATGCTGGGAATCGAACCCGGGTTGGCCGCATGCAAGGCATACGCCCTACCCGCTCTGCTATTGCCCTAACCCCAATCCCATGATTATTTTTAAAAAGCTAAAAGAATTCACACTTGAGTCTCTTTTCTAAAAGTCTGTCCGGAAAACTCCAGCGGTACCTAGCGACCAAACCTAGCACCAGTGGGGGATATGGGGCGCGCGTCATTCCAGAAGTCGATTCATTCATTTCCCGAGTAGCTCTGTTCCTGCCACCATGCAGGGCCTGGCAGGGATCCTGCCTTCCCAGAGGCAGGCACCGGGCCAGGCCACCAGAGCTGCCCTGCACGTAGTCACCATCTCGGAAAGAGCTGCTCGACCCAGAGCAAGTCACAGCACTCGGTCCCTCACTCACAGCTCGTCCCGCAGGCCAGTCACGAGAGAGGTTAAGTGGCTTGGCGGGAGATAAAGGAAGAGAGGGGGCCTCTGGCAGCAGGCATCCTGGGGAGGAGCGCCAGGCGACATGTTCCAGAATTTTCCATAGAGCGGAAGCGCCTTTGCCAAGTTGTTGCAAGGGAATGGGGGGCGCGTGGCCTTCTCCTCCCTCACTCTCCGTCACCCTCTGACATGTGAACCAGACGATCAGCTGAAAAGTTTTCCTGTTTCCTTGGCCAGTCAGTTCCCACCAGCGCTACCCCAGCCCCCTCCCCCCTCCCCCGCCCCATCCCACGGCACCCCACGTGCACAATAACATCGCTTTCCCCTTTGACCCTTCCCCTCTCCCCCCACTTCTGCTGTTGGAGCAAATGTTCCTTTGCTTCACCCCTAATTTATATTTTGTTTCCCCTGCAAAGTTTTATCCTTTGCAGTTAGAATGAGTTGGTGGCTCAGGGCAGCCGGGAATCTGATACAGTTGCTCTGTTTGTTGGTGGGCAGAAGGAAGGAAAGGTTCCATGATCCACTTTTCAGGGGCAGGTGGTAAACAAAATGACAGAAGTCTCCTTATGCCCCCCCACCTCCACCTCCATCCTACTAGGTGTGTGTTCTGTGTGTGTGTGTGTGTGTGTGTGTGTGTGTATATATATATATATACATATATATATATATATATACTTTTTTTTTTTTTTGCTTTTTGGGTCACACCCAGGGATGCACAAGGGTTACTCCTGGCTCTGCACTTAGGAATTACTCCTGGCGGTGCTCGGGGGACCTTATGGGATGCTGGGAATCGAACCCAGGTCGCCCACATGCAAGGCAAACGCTCTACCTGCTGTGCTATCACTCCAGCCCAAGATCCTTTTTTATTTTTTATTTTTATTTTGCTTTTTGGGTCACACCCGGCGATGCACAGGGATTATTCCTGGCTCATGCACTCAGGAATTACTCCTGGCGGTGCTCGGGGTACCATATGGGATGCGGGGAATCGAACCCGGGTCAGCTGCGTGCAAGGCAAACACCCTACCCGCCGTGCTATCACTCCAGCCCCCCCCCCTTTTTTTTTTTTGCTTTTGGGGGTCACACCCAGTGATGCTCAGGGCTTACTCCTGGCTCTGCACTCAGGAATGACTCCTGGCGGTGCTTGGGGGATGCTGGGGATCGAACCTAGGTCGCTCCAGCCCCCAGGTGTATATTTTTATGGCTTTAGCAACCCATGGCCAACCTCAGTCCAAAAATATTATAAACATAAGAGGGGATTTGAAGGGAGGGGAAAAGAGAGAGTCGGGGAATATGTTTATTTTTGTGCTTTATTTTTTAAAATTGAGCCCGTGAGATACACAGTTACAGAGTTGTTCATGATGGGGTTTCAGTCTTACAGTGTTCCAACACCTGCCCCTTCCCCTGTGTGCATTTCCCACCACCAGTGTTCCCTGTTTCCCTCCTGCCAGTCTGTCTGTCTGTCTGTCTGTCTGTCTGTCTCTCCCCCCCCCCCCCTTCCCTTTATCCCCCTCCTTTTCTCTCTTTCGGGCAATATGATTTGCAATATAGGTGGGCGTGAGTAAGTTTATATAAAATTTACCTCTTTTTGATACTTGGGGGCCACACCTGGCAGTGCTAGGGGCTCTTCCTGCCTTTTCCTCAGGGGCGACCCCAGGCAGTGCCTGGGGGGACCAGATGTGGGGTTATAGATTTGAACCAGGGTCAGACACAAAAGAGAAGTCCAGTGTCTTCTTTCCTGTGCAAACTCTCTGGCATTCACATCATTTTTATTAGGGCACAGAGTTATAATTGCCTTATTGTATTGTTAGTTATTATTTGTAATCTCTTAGTGTTCCTAATTTAGATATTCAACTTTATCATCAGTATATGTTTTGTGTAGTTAAAAAAAAAAACTATATAGGGTTTTGCATCCTGGGATTAGCTGTCCTCTGGGGGGTCTTAGAGTGTATCTTCCTACATTGGATAGTGCTAGGATACTTGCCTTGTGTGCACTGACAGGAGTTCAATCTCTGGCATCCCATATGGTCCCCTTAATTCGCTAGGAGTGTTCCCTGTGTGCAGAGCCAGGAGTAAGCCCTGAACAGAGCCAGGTATGGTTCCCCAAAAACAAACCAAAAAAGAATTTATCTTCAGGGGTCAGAGCCATAGTACAGCGAGTAGGGCGTTTGTCTTGCATTCGAGAGACCTGGGTTCAATCCCCAGCGTTCTATAGAGAATGCCAAGAGTAATTCCTGAGTGCAGAGCCAGGAGTAACCCCTGAGCATCGCTGGGTGTGACCCAAAAAAAGCCAAAAGCTAGTAAATAAAGAATGCATCTTCCTTGGGAAAAGAGAAACAATAGTAGCTATTTCCTCATCCCCCCATTTATTGACTTCTTTTGCTTTTCTTGGGGGGTGGGTTTAAGCCCCACCCGGCGGTGCTGCAGGGGGCTGAGTGCTTCAGGGGACATGTCCAGGCCTGTGTGAGCCCCCTCCCTGGCCAGCTGCTGGGTGATTCCCTTCTACATCGAGAGAGGGGTTGGGTTTCTCCAGAGACTAGCACTTCCGTGTGTGTTTGTGTGTGTGTGAGTTTGAGTGTGTGTGTGTGAGAGAGAGAGCGAGCATGCATGTGTGTATGTATGCATGTGTGCATATGTGTGAATGCATGTGCATGAGGTGTGTGCGTGTGTGTTTGCATGTGAATGCGTGTGCATGTGGTGTGTGCATGTGTGTGTGAATGTGTGTGCGTATATGTGTGTATGCTTGTGTGTAAATGTGTGAGCATGGAAAATCCTCCCGCTTGGCCCCGTACTCAGTTCTTTTTTTTGCTTTTTGGGTCATACCCGGCGATGCTCAGGGATTCCTCCTGGCTCTGCACTCAGGAGTTACTCCTGGCAGTGCTCAGGGGACCATGTGGGATGCTGGGAATTGAACCCGGGTCGGCCGCGTGCAAGGCAAACGCCCTCCCCGCTGTGCTATCTCTCCGCCCTCCTCCGCGCCCCCCCCCCCCCGCCTCCCCCCCTACTCAGTTCTAATTGACTTCTCTGCTTCTTTAGAATTCAATTCGGCACAACCTTTCTCTCAACAAGTGTTTCCGGAAGGTGCCAAGGCCTCGGGACGACCCGGGGAAGGTAAGAGCCACGGCTTCAGGGCTTGGTGGGGCAAGGGAGGGAGGAAGCCCCCCGAGTGAGGCTGCCTGCACCCCCCAGAAGAGGAAATCATTGGCATTAGGGGAGCAGCTTCCTTATTACTAGCATTATTTTCCCTGCCAGAGAAGAGCTCATTCCTGGTGCTCACCAGGAGGGCTGACTAAGGAAGTTGGCCAAGTCTTCAAAACAGAGCGAGGCTGGTGATACAACCACCTCGAGACCTGCCTTTCATGTGTGGGATGCTCTGTAGGCGGAAGATCGGGACCTTGGGCAGCGGGGGTGGGGGGTGGGTGTCTCCCAGCTATGCTCAAGGGCTCTTCCTGGCTTTGTGCTCAGGAGCGACCCCTGTTTGCTCGGAGGATTGTATGTAGTGCCAGGAGGACCCCCACCTTCCACCCCCGTATTGTGTCTCCAGCCTGACTTTATAACCTTTATCATGAAGGACATTTTTCTGGTCTTCTTTTTTTTTGGTGGGGCTGGAGCGATACCATGACGGGTAGGGCGTTTGACTTGCACACGGCCGACCTGGGTTTGATTCCTCCGCCCCTCTCGAAGAGCCCGGCAAGCTACCCTAAGAGTATTCCGCCCGCATGGCAAAGCCTGGCAAGCTCCCTGTGGCATATTCGGTATGCCAAAAACAGTAACAAGTCTCACAGTGGAGACGTTACTGGTGCCCGCTCGAGCAAATCGATGAACAACGGGAGGACACTGCTACAGTGCTTTTTTTGGGGGGGGGGGCGGCCATGCCTGGTGATACTCAGGGGTTACTCCTGGCTCTGTACTCAGGAATCCCTCCTAGCGGTGCTCAGGGGATCGTATGGGATGCCGGGGATCAAACCCAGGTCGGCTACATGCAGGCGAACGCCCCCTGGCTGCTGTATTATCTCCAGCCCCATGGGAGGTTTTTCTGTTTTGTTTGGTTTTGGGGTCACATCTGGCTGTGCTGAGGTTCCGGGAGCCTCATGTGGTACCAGGGGTTGCTCGTGGATGGGTCACCTGCAGGGGCAGCGTGCTGCCCACGGTGCTATTTCTCCAACCCCTGCCAGAGGTTTTCTATACAAAAGTCCCTTGATTTTTTTCTCCAGAAGTGAGAAGGAATCATTTGATGGAGAAGGACGAAGTCCAGGAGGGTCTCAGCTCAGAGTGCGTGGAAGGGGAGGGCTGTGTATGTTTGCCTCAGTTCCTGGAACCTCTTCCCGGCCCTTTACTCGGTTAGCACCATCCGGGAGAGCTGAGGATGGGGTTCAAGGTAGGGGTCACCTCAGACAGACTCGTGAACTTTCTTTCCATTTTTAAAAGTTTGTTTTCTGGTTTTTCGGGCCACACCTGGCGGTGCTCAGGGATCCCTGCTGGCAAACTCGGGGGACCACGTGGCATGCTGGGGATGGAACCCGGTCTGTCATGTGCCGGCTACCGCCTTCACAGTCTCTCCAGCCCTAGACTCAGGGCTTTCAGGGCAGATTGCTCACGAATAGCCAGTGGCCTCAGTATTCTGTGGGACTCCCTTGTCACTCCTCCTCCTCCTCCTCCTCCTCCTCCTCCTCCTCCTCCTCCTCCTCCTCCTCTTCTTACTCTTCTTCTTCTCCTTCTCCTCCTCCTCTTCTTCTTCTTACTCTTCTTCTTAACTCTTCTTCTCCTCTTCTTCCTCCTCCTCTTGTTCTTCTTACTCTTCTTTTTCATCCTCCTCCTCCTATTCCTCCTCCTCTTCCTCCTCCTCTTCTTCTTATTCTTCTTCTTACTCTTCTTCTTCATCCTCCTCCTCTTCTTCCTTCTCCTCCTCTTCCTCCTCCTCCTCCTCTTCTTGTTCTTGTTCTTCTTCTTCTTGTTCTTCTTCTTGTTCTTCTTCTTGTTCTTCTTGTTCTTCTTCTTCTTCTTCTTCTTCTTCTTCTTCTTCTTCTTCTTCTTCTTCTCCTTCTCCTTCTCCTCCTCCTCCTCCTCCTCTTCTTCTTATTCTTCTTCTTACTCTTCTTCATCCTCCTCCTCTTTCTCCTCCTCCTTTTCTTGTTCTTCTTCTTCTTCTCCTTCTCCTTCTCCTCCTCCTCTTCCTCCTCCTCTTCCCCCTCTTTCCTCCCCCTCCTCCTCCTCCCCCTCCTTCCTCCTCCCTCCTCCTCCTCCTCTTCCTCCTCCTTCTCCTCCTCCCTCCTCCTCCCCCCCTCCTCCTCCTCCCCCTCTTTCCTCCCCCTCCTCCTCCTCCCCCTTCTTCTTCCTCCTCCTCCCTCCTCCTTCTCCCTCCTCCCCCTCCTCCTCCTCTTTCTCCTCCTCCTCCTCCTCCTCCTCCTCCTCCTCCTCCTCCTCCTCCTCTTCTTCTTCACTGATTTATATGAAAATTATCCACCTCCAGTTTCCAAAGGCGGGGGTTCTCGGGTCCAGAACTCTGTTCTCTATGGTTCTTGCAGGGCTCCTATTGGACCATCGACACGTGCCCGGACATCTCCCGGAAGAGAAGACACCCTCCTGACGATGACGTAAGACCCCCTCAGGGAGAAGCCCCCAGGGAGCTTCTGGTTGGGTTTGTTTGTTTTTCATTGGGGGGCCACACCTGGTGGTGCTCAGATCTGACTCCGGGCTCGTGACTCCAGGATCACTCCTGGCAGGCTCGGGGTGCCATCCTGGGTGTTGCGGATGGAACCCAGGTTGGCCGCGTGTGAGGCCAACGCCCTCCCTGCTGGACTATGGCTCCGGCCCCGGGAGTCTCTTTCTCAGCCTGCCCTGTAGCTTCGTCTGTCCCCTCTCGAACCCTGCAAACACCCCTAGGGGGTTTCAGCTGCAGCCCTAGGGGGGCTCACCCTGGGCGTCGGGGGGATGTTTTACTCCCGCTTACAGGTCGCTCCTCTTTGTCCAACCCCAGCTCTCCCAAGACTCACCAGAGCAGGAGGCGAGCAAGAGCCCGCGGGGTGGTGTTCCCGGGGGTGGAGAAGCCTCACTGCCCCCCGAGGGGAACCCTCAGATGGCACTTCAGAGCCCCACCTCCATCACCAGCTACAGCCAGGTAGGGAATCCAGGTGGCCAATGGTGGTTGAGGCGGGAGGGGTTTGAGGGAGGGAGAGTGGGAGAGAGCAGGGGTCGGTGTGGGGGCGGGGGTCATGAATGGATGGATGAGAGAGCGAGGAAGGGGGAGGGGGTGGGCGGGTGGCAGTTGATGGGCAGAGAGAGGAAGGGATGATGAGCGGATGGGAGGCAAGAGGGGTGAGGAATGAATGGGGTGGATGAGTGGATGGATAGACGGAGGAGTGGGAGGAGGGATGGATGTTTAGATGGAGAAAGGGATGAGTGGATGGATGGATAGAGGAAGGGATGGATGAGCGGAGGAATTGGGAAATGTCCATCTGAGTGGAAGGATGAATTCATAGGTATTGTATCTATCATGCGGTAGATCACAAATCAAATCACAAATCATCCTGTTATTCGTCGATTGCCTCGAGCAGGCCCCAGTAACGTCTCTTTCATCCTAGCCCTGAGATTATATTCAAGGTTCTTTAGGAGAATGAGACCCATCATTGTTACTGGTATTTGGCATATTGGGTACGCCACGGGGAGTTTGCCAGACTCTGCCATGCGGTAGATAATTTGAGAAATAAGAGGGGGAAGCAAAAGAGAGGAGAGATTGACAATATAAGAGAGTGAGAAGGGTCGGAGTGATAGCCCAGCAGGGAGGGTGTTTGCCTTGCATGCAGCCAACCTGGGTTCAATCCCCGGCATCCCATATGGTCCCCCCGAGCACTGCCAGAAGTAATTCCTGAGTGCATGAGCCAGGAGTAACCCCCGAGCATCGCTGAGTGTGACCCAAAAAGAAAAATAAAATGGAGAGAGAGAGGGAGAGGGAGAGAACAGAAATTTAAGAATGATCAGAGGGGCCAGGGAGATACTCCAGTGAGTAAGGTGTGTGCCTTGTTCACGGACGATCCGGGTTCAGTCTGTTTATCCTCTCTGGACCCCTGAGCACTGCCAGGAATGATTCCTGAGTGCAGAGCTGGGAGTAAGCCCTGAGCATAGCTCGGTGTGGCCCCAAAACAAAACAAAAAGATCAGGAGGAAAAAAGTGGTGAGAAAGAAGGTGAGGTAGTTCCCTGGTCCAGGGAGGTGGGCCAGGGCTGGGGCATGTGCTCTGTATGCAGGAGCCCCAGGCCCGACAGCTCGCACCTAGGAATGATCCCCCGAGCACTCAGCCTGGAGCAGCCCCAGCGCTCCCCTCAGCCAATAACTGCCCCCTTCAGTGACGGGGGCAAGAGAAAATTCAGCGTTTGCCTGGCCTGTGGCCAATCAGTGTTGGATCCCGGGTGCCACCCGGTATGTCCTCCGAGCCTGCCAGGAGGGATCCTGGAACACTGAGCCAGGAGTAAGCCCTGAGCACTGCTGGGGGTGTGGTTTCCCCCTCCGCCCCCTCAAAAAAAAGAAAAAGGAATAGATGAGTGACTGAGAGATAGTACAGGGGTTAAAGTGCTCGTTTAGGGGCTAGAGCGATAGCATAGCAGGTAGGATGTTTGCCTTGCATGCGGCTGACCCGAGTTCAATTCCCATCATCCCATATGGTTCCCCGAGCACTGCCAGGAGTAATTCCTGAGTCCACGAGCCAGATGTATGTGACCCAAAAAGAAAAAAAAAAAAGTGCTGACTTAGCACCTGGCTGACTCTGGTTTAATTCCTGGTACCCAATATGGACCCCCAAGCACTGCTTGGGGTCAGTCCTGAGCACAGAATCAGGAGTAGTGACTGAGCGTTGCTGGTGTGGATACCCTCCCTCCACTCTTCCCTCCACCCGTGCCCCCCCCCAAAAAAGAGAAAAGGACAAGAAAAGGGGTTCATGGGGCTCCCTTGTGGGTCAGAGGGAAGAGGCCGAAGGACTGGCCAGGGAGGGTGCGGGACCCCTAGCGGGTTCCCTAGAGTGGGGTCAAGCGTCCCCCCTTCGTTTTGCAGAGCTCAGCGTCTGTGGACGGCAGCGGTGCCGTGCCTGCGGGGGCTCCAGGCCGAGACAGCGCCGAGGGCCCCCCGCCCCTGTATAGCGCCAACCACGACTTCAAATTCTCCTACTCAGAGATCAACTTTCAGGACCTGAGCTGGTCCTTCCGCAACCTCTACAAGTCCATGCTGGAGAAATCCTCCTCCTCCTCCTCCTCGCAGCACGGTGAGTCGGCCGGGCGGGCCCCTGCAGCGTTCCCGGGCCCCTGGGGAGTGGGCAGGGGTGCGAGGGGAGAACGGGGCCAGCCTCTGCTCTCCCTTCCTCCACCTGGCACCCACGGAAAGGTGAGTCGTTGGCCAGATGTGACCCCAAACTCATTGGAGTTGAGCGTTTCAGGAACTGCCCTTGTTTTTTATTATTATTATTATTATTATTATTATTATTATTATTATCATCATTACCCTCTCAGAGAGCCTGGCAAGCTACCGAGAGGATCCTGCCAGCACGGCAGAGCCTGGCAAGCTCTCCGTGGCGTATTCAATATGCCAAACACAGTAACCACAAGTCTCACAATGGAGACATTACTGGGCCCGCTCGAGCAAATCGAAGAACAATGGGAGGACAGTGCTACAGTGCTACTGTTATTATTGCTATTATTGGGTTACACCTGGCGATGCTCAAGAGTTACTTCTGGCTCTGCACTCCTGGTAGTGCTCAGGGGACCATCTGGGATGCTGGGGATTGAATCCAGCTCAACCCCTTGCAAGGCAAATGGCCTCCCTGCTGTGCTATCACTCCAGCCTCATTGTCCTTGTTTTTTTTTTTTTTGGGTCACACCCAGTGATGCTCAGGGGTTACTCCTGGCTCATACACTCGGGAATTATTCCTGGCAGTGCTCAGGGGACCATGTGGGATGCTGGGAATCGAACCTGGGTCGGCCATGTTGGCTGCATGCAAGGCAAATGCCCTACCCGCTGTGCTATCGCTTCAGCCCCTGTCCTTGTTTTTTAATAACTAACCACCGCCCTCCTCATTGGGGTCGGAGCCATAGTACAGCTGGCCTTGCACTTGGCCAAGCCCGGTTTCATCCCTGGCATCCCATATGATCCCCTGAGCACCCCCCGGAGTGATCACTGAGCACAGAGCCAGGAGTAAACCCTGAGCATTGGAAAGTGTGGCCCCCAAACAAAACAAAACAAAAATCCCTCCTCCCCCGACCCTTCTTTTTTTTTTTTTTCTTTTTGGGTCATACCTGGTGATACTCAGGAGTTCCTCCCGGCTCTGCACTCAGGAATTACTCCTGGCGGTGCTCAGGGGGCCCTATGGGATGCTGGGAATCGAACCTGGGTCGGCCTCACGCAAGGCAAATGCCCTCTCCGCCGTGCTATCACTCCAGCCCCCCCTTCCTTTTTTGTTTTGTTACTGTTCTTGGGCCACCCCCTGTGCTGCTCAGAGATCAGTCCTGACGAGGCTGGGGGACCGGGTGGGATCCTACGGCTTTTCTTGGCTCAGCCGTGTGCAAAGCTCACGACTGACCTTCTGTATTATCTCTCTGTCCCCCCTCCCCCCGCCCTGCCCCTTCTGCTCTGCCACTTCGTATTTGCCACTTCGTATTTGGGGTACCCTGCTGGCCTGGTGAGTGCTCAGCTGGGTGGAGGGTGCACCGTGACTCAGTGCTCGAATGCTTAGTCGCGGAGCTTGCACCCGTGCCCATGGCCTGGGGTCAGGGCAAGTCCCACCCTCAGCCTCAGTTTAGTGGGTTCTGGTGCTTGCTGTAGATCACAAGTCCTGCTGTGGCACACCCACACCTTTTTTTTTTTTCTTTTTGGGTCACACCTGGTGATGCTCAGGGGTTCCTCCTAGCTCTGCACTCAGGAATTACTCCTGGCAGTGCTCGGGGGACCATATGGGATGCTGGGATTTGAACCTGGGTCGGCTGCGTGCAAGGCAAACGCCCTACCCGCTGTGCTATCTCTCCAGCCCCCACACCCACACCTTTTTAGTTGCTCACTTGGGCGTGTGTGTGTGTGTGGTGGGGGGGGGTGGTGGAAATCACACCCATTTGTGTGGTGCCTGCCTGCCGTTTCTTTTTCCCCCTTTTTTTTTTGTTTTTTGTTTTCTTTTGGGTCACACCTGGCAATGCTCAGTGGTTCCTTCTGGCTCTGTACTCAGGAATTAGGCCTGGCGGTGTTTGGCGGACCATATGGTATGCCAGAAATCAAAGTCGGGTTGGCTGCATGCAAAGCAAATACCCTTCCCTCAGTGCTGTCGCTCCTTCCTTCCTTCCTTCCTTCCTTCCTTCCTTCCTTCCTTCCTTCCTTCCTTCCCTCCTTCCCTTCTTTCCTCTTTCTTTCTTCCTTTCTTCCTTCCTTCCTTCCCTTCTTTCCTCTTTCTTCCTTCCTTCCCTTCTTTCCTCTTTCTTTCTTCCTTTCTTCCTTCCTTCCTTCCTTCCTTCCTTCCTTCCTTCCTCCTTCCTTCTTTCCTCCTTCCTTCCTCTTTCTTCCTTCCTTCCTTCCTTCCTTCCTTCCTTCCTTCCTTCCTTTCTTCTTTCCTCCTTCCTTCTTTCCTTCCTTCCTTCCTTCCTTCCTTCCTCTTTCCTCCTTCCTTCCTTCCTTCCTTCCTTCCTTCCTTCCTTCCTTCTTTCCTCCCTTCCTTCCTTCCTTCCTTCCTTCCTTCCTTCCTTCCTCTTTCCTCCTTCCTTCCTTCCTTCCTTCCTTCCTTCCTTCCTCCTTCCTTCCTTCCTTCCTTCCTTCCTTCCTTCCTTCCTCTTTCCTCCTTCCTTTCCTTCCTTCCTTCCTTCCTTCCTTCCTTCCTTCCTTCCTTCCTCTTTCCTCCTTCCTTCCTTCCTTCCTTCCTTCTTTCCTTCTTTCCTTCCTTCCTTCCTTCCTTCCTTCCTCCTTCCTTCCTTCCTTCCTTCCTCTTTCCTCCTTCCCTTCCTTCCTTCCTTCCTTCCTTCCTTCCTTCCTCTTTCCTCCTTCCCTTCCTTCCTTCCTTCCTTCCTTCCTTCCTTCCTTCCTTCCTTCCTTCCTCTTTCCTCCTTCCTTCCTTCCTTCCTTCCTTCCTTCCTTCCTTCCTTCCTTCCTTCTTTCCTCCTTCCTTCCTTCCTTCCTTCCTTCCTTCCTTCCTTCTTTCCTCCCTTCCTTCCTTCCTTCCTTCCTTCCTTCCTTCCTTCCTTCCTTCCTTCCTTCCTTCCTTCCTTCCTTCCTTCCTTCACACCCAGCGATGCTCAGGGGTTCCTCCTGGCTCTGCACTCAGGAATTACTCCTGGCGCTGCTCAAGAGACCATATGGGATGCTGGGGATTCAGCCCAGGTCAGATTATGCAAGGCAAATGCTCTACCTACTGTGCTCTCATTCCGGTCCTCCTTGCATGCCTTTTCTGGGTCTCGTGCAGCCAGAAATCTCTTGTGGTGCCCGGGATCGTAGCTGGCACAGCTGCGAGGCTCGCGCTCGATGCCCATGGGACCCCTGGGTGTGAAACTCATGGCCCGGCGCTTGCACGCTTCAGAGTCCACCTGTGAGAGGCAGGCGGGGTTATTGGCTTCAGAGAGTTGGAGTTAAGAGGCGCTTCTAGCACTAAGAAGTGATTGTTTTAGCTGCAGACAAGTTATTTAGAGGGTGGCCACTAGGGGGCAGCAGTGGCACCCTTAGAATCTGGCATTTGGCTGGGATTTTGCAATTTTGCCAGGAGAATCATATATGTGGTTTAATTTTCTTGTTTTGTTTTGGAGCCACATTCCACGGGACTCAGGGTTACTCCTGATTCTTCCCTCAGCAGTTACTCCTGGCAGGGCTTGGGGGAATCTTTATTTATTTATTTTTTTTTGCTCTTTGGGTCACACCCAGCAATGCACAGGGATTACTCCTGGCTCTGCTCTGGCAGTGCTTGGGGGACCATATGGGATGCTGGGAATCGAACCCAGGTCGGCCGAGTGCAAGGCAAACGCCCTACCCGCTGTGCTATCACTCCAGTCCAGCTTGGGGGATCTTATGGGATGCCAGGGATAGAACCTGGGTGGGCTGTGTGCAAGGCAAATGCCCAACCCACTGTACTATCTCTCTGGCCTCATATAGTTAGTGTGTATGTGTGTGTGTGTGTGTGTGTGTGTGTGTGTGTTTAGAAAAAAAACAGTTCAAACATGGAAAAAACAGAGAAAATCATAAAATAGGCATTCATGTTTTCTTCCAGCCTTTGCAGTTACCAGTATTTTAGGCGGACTTCCTTTCCCACCCAGCTATTTTTTTTCCCTCTTAGTGCAATTTCCAGACATGTTATTATGTAAATACTATTTCAGTAGGCATTATTTTATTTTAGTGAAGTAAAAGAGTTTTATTTAAGAACTTGGAAGAGGAGAAAAACAACCTGGAGAGTAAAAAGAGAGAAAAGTCGGGGCTGGAGCAATAGCACAGCGGGAAAGGTGTTTGCCTTGCATGAGGCCAACCCAGGTTTGATCCCCAGCATCGCATAGGGTCCCCCAAGCACGGCCAGGAGTAATTCCTGAGTGCATGAGCCAGGAGTAACCCCTGTGCATCGCTGGGTGTGACCCAAAAAGCCAAAAAAAAAAAGAAAAGAGAGGAATGTCCACCTCCCCCTTCCCCTCCCCCTCCCCTGAGCAGGGGTGGTCCTGCAGAAGAAATTCTGAATGATCACGGCTTTCCATTTTTTGAAATCTCTGCTCTTAACAAAATTAATAACATTTTCTTTAAGAGCAGCTCATATCTTGCCCGTACTCAGATTTTGTGTTTTGAATATGTTCTTGAGTTTTCCTGATTTGTGGCTGTTGGTGGTTTTTTTTTGGCGGGGGAGGGGGGTGGTGCACCAGGACCACATCCTGGCATGCTCAGGGCTGTGCGTTGCCATAGATAATCTCAGTGTCTTTCTTTTTTTATTTATTACTGAAACACCATGAGTTACAGTTGTAGACTTACAAATTTTTGTGCTTGGGTTTCAATTATACAATGATCAAATACCCATCCCTCCACCAGTGCCCATTTTCCACCACCACGGATCCCAGTATCCCTCCCACCCCCATCCCCCCATCCCACCCTGCCTCTGTGGCAGGGTATTCTCGTTTGTTCTCTCTCTCCTTTTGGGTGTTGTGGTCTGCAAAAGAGGCATTAAGTGGCAAACATGTTCAGTCCATAGTCTACTTTCAACATGCATCTCCCCTCCTGGGAGGATCCTCCAAACACCCTTTATTTGGTGCTCCCTTCTCTATCTGAGCTGCCCTTTCCCCTAGAATAGTTGGACCCAAATCAGAATTTTTTTTTTTTTTGCTTTTTGGGTCACACCCTGTGAAGCACAGAGGTTACTCCTGGCTCATGCACTCAGGAATTACTCCTGGAGGTGCTCAGGGGACCATATGGGATGCTGGGAATCGAACCCGGGTTGGCCGTGTGCAAGGCAAATGCCCTCCTCGCTGTGCTATTGCTTCAGCCCCAATCTCAGTGTCTTACACATCTCCCATGCTGATGGCTCTTGGGGACCATGCCACGTTCAGTATGGAGCCAAGGGCTCTCTCATGCCAATCTGCACTCCAGCCCTTTGGCTGTCTCCCTGGCCCAAGCAATAGAAAATATTGCACAGCGGTAGGGTGTTCGCCTTACAAGCGGCCAACATGGCCGACCCGAGTTCGATTCCTCCGCCCCTCTCGGAGAGCCCGGCAAGCTACCGAGAGTATTCGATATGCCAGACACAGTAACAACAAAGTCTCCAATGGAGACGTTACTGGGCCCGCTCGAGCAAATCGATGATCAACAGGAGGGCCTTTACCTTTTTTACCTTAAGGTAGTCTGTAGTAATTTTTTAAAATCTAGCTTTAAAAATTTCTGATTGGGGGGCTGGAGTGATAGCACAGAGGGTAGGGCGTTTGCCTTGGACACGGCCAACCCAGGTTTGATCTTCAGCATCCCATGGGATCCCCTGAGCACCACAGGAGTGATTTCTGAGTGCAGAGCCAGGAGGAATCCCTGAGAATTGACAGGTGTGACCCAAAAAGCAAACAAAAAAACAAAACACACAGACACACACACACAAACATAAACACAAAAACCAAACCCCCAAGCAAAAAGCACCAAACGTTACACAGGTGGGGAGGACGGGATTGACCCTGGATCTCCTGTTCTCCAGCCATATATGTCCCTGGTACCTTTGTCATAGCTCCTGAAAACCTGTCTTTAAATGTGTGTGCATGGGGTGGAAAGATAGTACAGTGGGTAGAACACTTGCCTTGCACCTGTAGCCAGCTTGGGTTCAGTTTCCCAACACCCCATCTGGACCCCCCCAGACCCACCACGAGTAATTCCTGAGCTAGAGCCAGGAATAACCCCTGAACATTGCCGGGTGTGATCCCCCCAAAAAAACAAAAACATAAACAAAACACCGGGCTGGAGTGATAGTACAATGTGTAGGGCGTTTGCCCTGCCTGCAGCCAACCCAAGTTCGATCCCCAGCATCCCATAGGGTCCCCTGAGCATCACCGCCAGGATTGATTCTTGAGTGCGGAGTCAGGCGTAAGCCCTGAGCCTTGCTGGGTGTGACTCAAAAAGAAAACAAATGAACAACGACAGAAAACCCCACCAAACCCCAAAACAATAACAACAACAACAAAAAAACCAAACTGTTACACAGGTGGGGAGGATGGGATTCACCCTGGATCTCCTGTTCTCTGGCCATATATATCCGTGGTACCTGTTTCTTAGCTCCTGAAAACCTGTCTTTATTTATTTATTTTTGCTTTTTGGGTCACGCACCCAGCGATGCACAGGGGTTCCTCCTGGCTCATGCACTCAGGAATTACTCCTGGTGATGCTCGGGGGGACCCTATGGGATGCTGGGAATCGAACCTGGGTCAGTTGCGTGCAAGGCAAACGCCCCACCCGCTGTGCTATCACTCCAGCCCGAAAATCTGTCTTTAAATATGTATGCACGGGGCGGAAAGATGGTACAGTGGGTGGAGTGCTTATCTCACACCTGTGGTCAGTTTGGGTTCAGTTTCCCAACACCCCATCTAGGCCTCTCTCCCCCTCCCCTCCCCAAACCCACCATGAGTGATTGCTGGGCGCAGAGAGTGAGGAGTCAGCCCTGAGCTCAGCAGAGTGTCACCCAGAAACCCCGGGTGGGGAAAATTACATGCACCTGAAAAATAAACTAGGAGAGAGAAATGAGCAAGAACAATGCAAGTCACTGGGGGAGGGATGGGTACTCAATCATTATATAAAACTGAAACCCACGCACAAAAATTTGTGAGTCTACAACTGTATCTCAGGGTGTTTCACTAATAAAAATTAAAAAAAAAGATTTTGATCTGCATCAAGATTAGTACCAGGAATTTTGCTCCATGGCTTGGAGGCCAGCCACACATGCTAGGGGAAAAGGGAGCTCAGATAGAGAAGGGAGCACCAAATAAAGGTGTTGGGAGGACCCTCCCAGGATGGGAGAAGCATGCTGAAAGTAGACTATAGACCAAACGTGATTGCCACTCAGTGCCTCTTTTGCAAACCACAGCACCCAAAAGGAGAGAGAGAACAAAAGGGAATGCCCTGCCACAGAGGCAGGGTGGGATGCGGGGGATGGGGGGTGGGAGGGATACTGGGATCCGTGGTGATGGGAAATGGGCACTGGTGAGGGATGGGTATTTGATCATTGTATAATTGAAACCCAAGCACAAAAATTTGTAAGTCTACAACTGTACCTCAGGGTGTTTCACTAATAAAAATAAAAAAAAAAAAAGGATAATGCAAGTCACTGACCTGCTTTCTGTCCCCGCAGGCTTTTCGTCGCTCCTGGGGGACATGCCGCCCTCCAGCAACTACTACATGTACCAGCAGCCGCCGACCCCCCAGCAGGCCCCGCCCCCCCAGCAGGCCCCGAACCCGCAGCAGGCCCAACCCCCGCCGGGCCAGCCGCCGCCTCCGTCCACCCAGGGCCCCTCGGCCGCCGTCGGGGGCGCCCCCGCGCTGCACACCCCTAGCCCGGACGGTTGTCCCCCGCCCGGAGGAAAGCCCGCGGGGGCCGAGGGCTACGGGCCGCCCCCCGTGATGGCCCTGCACCCGCCGCCCCTGCAGCACGCAGGGTACCACCCTCATCAGCACCACCCGCAACAGCCCCCGCCGCAGGCCCCGGGCCAGGCGCCCATCAACAGCCCAGGCTTCGGTGAGTCCCGAGGGCGGGTGGTGGACCCCCAGGGACTGCAGCTGAGAGTGAGCGAGGGAGGGACCTTCTGGGGGCTTCGGAACTGTGTTAGCCCGAGAATTCTCGCCCGCGCGCTTGGCAGTCCGTGCCCTGCACCGCTCTGGCATGTACCTGCAGCCCAGAGTGGCCGTCCAGGGAACAGTGCCCAGGGAAGGAGACCGCAGGGAGTCCCTGCAGTCACTGCGACAGTGGGGTCCCGCAGCTTCTGTACACAGCGGGGTCCTGCAGTCTCTGCCTGCATCGGGATCCTGTAGTTTCCTCCTTTTTTTTTTTTTTTTGCTTTTTTTGGGAGGGGTCACACCCAATGATGCTCAGGGATTCCTCCTGGCTCTGCACTAAGGAATTACTCCTGACGGTGCTTGTGAGACCACATGGGATGCCCCAGGTACCGAACCCCGGTTGCCTGCGTGTAAGGCAAATGCCCTACCCACTGTGCTATCAGTGGGGTCCTTCAGTTTCTACCCGCAGCGGGTCCCGCAGCCTCTGTGCACCGTGGGGTCCTGCAGTCTGCGCGCAGCAGATACCCAAAATCTAGGTGCGCACATAACCCCTGCCCCCACATTCTTTGCCCGCAGTGGGTCGGGCAGTTTCTGCGCGCAGCAGATACCCGAAATCTTGGTGCGCAGTGGGTTCACGCAGACTCAGTGTGCCTTGGGTCCCCCCACATTCTCTGCACGATGGTGGGGTGGGGGTTCCCGCACCTATCCATTCCTTCTGGATGTGGGAGCCCGGCGTACTGCAGACCTGAGTCCGCTGAGCCCCCCTCCCCTCCTCTCTTCCAGCCTTTCCTCCCGACTGGTGCTCCAACATCGACTCCTTAAAGGAGAGCTTCAAGATGGTCAACCGGCTCAACTGGTCCAGCATTGAGCAATCCCAGTTCTCCGGTATGGGTGCAGAGAGGGAAGCTTTGGAGGGTACAGGAGAATGGCGGATCCTCTTCTCAGATGGATTTTGATGTGGCCTTAATGTCCCATGACAGTGGGTCACCCTCACCAGCTGTGTGGCGGCAGTTCGGAAACCCTGGGCTGTCATTTTATTTATATATAATTATTATTGTTAATAATAATTAACAACGCATGAAGGTACCAGCAAGGAACAAAGGCATGCGGGTCCTGGAGCTGAGATCTCCAAGCCTGCTCGGATCGGGGCTGAGCATCCTCCACCCAGATCCTCCTTTTTCCAGTAGGTAGGGGTCACACCCACCAACTGGCTCCCAGTCCTGTGTAATCCCATCAACGGCCAAGACCCAGAGACTATAAAACCCAGCTTCTGGAAGCGCACGGCCGCATTTGCGGCCACACGACATCTTATTATCTCATTCCTACTTTGGACAAACTGACAGGCTATCGAATGTAACCTGTTCACACGGCAGAGTCTGGCAAACTCCCCTTGGTGTACCCAATATGCCAAATACCAGTAACAATGATGGGTCTCATTCTTCTAACCCTGAAAGACCCTTGAATATGGCACCTTGTAAAAAATCTCAGGGCTAGGATGAAGGAGATGTTACTGGGGCCTGCTCGAGGCAATCAATGAACAACAGGATGGTCGTGATTGTGATCATGATTATTGTAATGAGGGGGAGGGGGTTGGGCCACCCTGGGCAGTCCCAGGGCTCTCTGTCCACGCTCTGCACTCAGGGATCAGTCCTGCTGGGGTTTGGGGATCAAATCTGGGTGGAGGGCATGCAGAGCTAGCATTTAATTAATACCCTCGTCTTATCTCTCCAGCCCTGGACCTTGATTTTTATCTTCCAGTTGCCATTTCCCGACTGTGTGATCACAGCCTGTTAACTCAGTCATTTTTGTGTTTCTATCTGTTTTGAAGTTTTGCTTCGGGGGGATAGAGAACTGGGAGGGTGTGGGGAGGACGGCTGACCTGGGTTTAATTCCTCTGGAGCCCATCTGGTCCCTGAAGCACCACTAGGAGTGATCCCTGGACACAGAGCCAGGAGTCAGCCCTTGAGCACCTCGGTTGTGGCCCCAGAACATCCCCTCCTCCAGTTCTATTGGGTTTCAAGTTTTGTCTAGAGATGGGAATTAGAAGAAGAGTTAAGAGAGTGGAAAAAAATGCAAGAGACAGCCATTGGGTGCCAGAGAGGTAGTACGGGGCTCAAGGAACTTGCCTTGCATGCTGCCAACCCGGGTTCAACCTTGCCCTGTGGCCTCCTGAACCCTGCCAGGAGTGATCCCTGCACCCCGAGCCGGGGGTCAGCCCTGGGTGCAGCCCTCCCAAATAAAAGAGAGAACATAGAGATGGCCTTTGAATGGCAGGGACAGGCCAGCTATGCCACTGGCCGGCTGACTGCAGGTGCAGCTGCCACCTTGAGGCAGATGCCACCCCATCGGTCCTCAGGGCACCCCACAGGCTGAGCCTTCCTCCTCCTCTGTGTGCAGACCTGATGGAGTGCTTGCGGCAGGCGGAGCAGAAGAACTGGAGCCTCGACCCCCACCACATCGCCAACCTGTGTGACTCCCTCAACCACTTCCTCACTCAGACTGGTCACGTGCCCCCCCAGGGCACCTCCCACCGGCCACCAGCCCCTGCCCGGATCACTGACTCCTGTGCCCTCACCAGCGGCAAGCAGGAGACCCCCATGAACCAAGGTAGTGAGCAGTGAGGGAGGAGGTGGGGCAGGGCGGGGCGGGGTGCCCCCATCGACAGAGTCCAGAGAGGTCATCTTGGGGACCGTCGGGGGCTCCGTGAAGCCCTGTGCTGAAAATGCCACGGTAGGGGGCCGGAGCCATAGTTCAGCGGGTCTGGTCCTTGCCTTCTGTTCAGCCGATCCAGATTCGATCACCCACCACCTCATGGGGTCCCCCGAGCACCCCCAGGAGTAATTCCTGAGTGCAGAGCCAGGACTCAGCTCTGTACTCTCTCTCTCGTCCCTCCCTAATCAGGTCTCTCTGGTTTTGTTTGAAGTAGCCCCCAGCTACCTGGCGGTGGTACTTGGGGTGGGGGGTGGGGGGCCATGTGTTCACTCCTGGATGTGCCCAGGGCCCCTCTGTGGTGCCAGATTGTGGATTACCACAAGCAGAGCATCTGTAATTCTCCAGTGAATATTTTATTTATTTATTTTTAAAGAAAGTGGTCACTATTTATTTATTTATTTTTGCTTTTTGGGTCGCACCCAGCGATGCTCAGGGGTTCCTCCTGGCTCTGCACTCAGGAATTACTCCTGACGGTGCTTGGGGGACCATATGGGATGCCGGGGATCGAACCCAGGTCGGCCGCATGCAAGGCAAATGCCCTACCTGCTGTGCTATCGCTCCGGCCCCAGTGAATATTTTATTTTTTAAATTTTATTTTATTTTTGCTTTTTTGGGTCACACCCGGCGATGCCCAGGGGTTCCTCCTGGCTCTGCACTCAGGAACTACTCCTGTCGGTGCTTGGGGGACCCTATGGGATGCTGGGAATCGAACCCGGGTCGGCCGCTTGCAACGCAAGCGCCCTCCCCACTGTGCTATCGCTCCAGCCCCCCAGTGAGTATTTTAAAGATCTGTGTCTATCGGCGGTGTTTCCCCGATTCTGGCATCTTAGTCCCTATTTCCCCTAAGTGCTGGGGGCCGAAAGCAGCTGTGGAAAAGCTTCCTCCCTGCGGGCACTTCAGGGCAGGAGGAGATCCCAGCAATTCTGAGGGGAGAGCATCTTCCCTCCCTGGTCCCTGCTCGGCTGCGTGTTAGGGCCCCGCTCCAGCGCGTCTTGTCTTGTCTTGGCAGTGAATTCCTACGGGCACCCCCAAGCCCCTCACCTCTACCCCGGCCCGTCACCAATGTACCCGCTCCCCGCCCCGGACTCCGCAGGATACAGCCGTCCAGGTAAGGGCATCAGAGCCGCTGCCCCCAGGCAGCCAGTCATTGCCGTTGCACTGGCCTTGGGCTCAGGGCCTGCACAGGAAGCCGGATGGGGAGGGGCGGGGGCGTCCTGGAGACGAGCCTCTCAGAGCAGCCGGTGTGTGCGTGCATGCAGGGAACAGCAGCGGAGACAGCGAGTCTCGTTTGGGGGCCTGGATGGGAGATAGATGCGCTGCAGTGAAGGGGACTTTGCTACCAGCCTGTCTGCCTGCTGCCCCGTTTGCTCTCCGGGTGCCGGACCTCTAGCCTCAGGGCAGGCATCAAACTCACAGAAGGGTGTGTGTGTGTGTGTGTGTGTGTGTGTGTGTGTGTGTGAGTGGCGAGGGGAAAGACCCTGTTGACCATGTGTTGTGTATGTCTGTATATGTCTGTGTGAGTGATGAGGGGACAGACCCCATTAACCATCTGTCGTGACATGTGTGTGTGTGTGTAGTAAGGGGACAGACCCTATTGACCATGTTTTATGGCAGGTGTATGTGTGTGTGTGTAAGTGGTGAGGTGAGGGGACAGACCCTATTGACTACCTGTCATGACATATGTGTAGTAAGGGGACAGACACTACTCTGTCCTCTTATGTCAGGGTGTGTGTGTGTGTCTGTGAGTGCTAAGGGGACAGACCTCATTGGCCATCTGTCATGAGTGTGTGTGTGTCTGAGTGGTGAGGGGACAGACCCCATGGACCATCTGTCATGATGTTTGAGTGTGTAGTAAGGGGATAGACCCTACTGACCACCATTTATGGCAAGGGTGTGTATGTGTGTTTGTGTGTGTGTGCTTGTGTGTGTGTGTGAGTGGTGAGGGGACAGACACCATTGACCATCTGTCATGACGTGTGTATGTGTGTGTGTAGTAAGGGGATAGACCTGACTGACCACCTCTTATGGCAGGGGTGTGTGTGTGTGTGTGCAGGAGGACAGACCCTACGGGTCACTCTCATGATGGGTGTCTGTGTCTGAGTGTGAACTGCGAGGGGACGCCCCGAGTTGCCCTCAGTCCCACCAGATGAGCAGACCCTGCAGCTGTCAGTCACGTGGGCGAAACCACAGGATTCTCCTGAGCGCTGAAGTTTCCCATTTGGGGCGTGTCCCCTGATTCCAAGTCCTGGTTTCCCTTGTCACCCAGATACAACTTCCCGAACCTCGGGGCCGTTTGCTAGAACATTCTCTGTGTTCTGGGTACTCGCTGCCCACGTCCATCCAGGCAGCCCGGCCGGGCCTCCGTCCCCCACCCCCAGGGCTGGTTCCCTGGCACCCATTTCCGAGATGCCCCCGCTGTGGGCAGCCCGCACCCAGATAACCGGGCCAGGAAGGGCGGTGCTGCCTAACGCTCTCTCTCTCTCTGTCTTCCTCACAGCCCACCACATGGTCCCTCGGCCGCCGGTGCCCCCTCCTGGGGCCAACGAGGAGATCCCCGACGACTTCGATTGGGACTTAATCACTTAGTGTGGCGCGGGCCGTGGGCGTCTGGCCCGGGCTGGCCGTGGGAGCTGAGCGCGCCCGGCCGGGCCCTCCCTCCTGGCTGTATATAGATCTCTCTCCCCTCTGTTCCTTTCTCTGTCCGAGAAACCACCACAAGATGCTGCCGAAGATAACCCCCCTCTCTCCCGCCTCAGCCTTCCTCTTCTTTCTCATCCCTCCCACCCCCCACCCATTCTTTCGTTGTTACGCTTGATCATCGTTATATTCTTCTTCTTATTGGTTGGGTGCAGTCCCCGTGCCCTGGACCAGGTCCGAGGTCCCTCCATCACCGCTGTGCTCGTTTCAGAACCTCTGGCTGCCTGGGGGTGGGGGGTGGTACCAGGCTCGCTCCCAGAAGGGTTTCACATCCCACTTGCCCTTGGGGAACCCAAAGGCTCCTCCTGCCATTCTGCCTGACCTGGTTTCCTAGGCCCGTCCGTGGTGGGCCAGGCAGGGGAGGCTGCCTGGCCTCGGCCTTGCTTGGCGGCCAGGAAATTGCGGGTTCTCCTCCATGGTGCTAAATCCATCCATCCTCCTCTTAGCTCTTCCACAGCACTTCCGGGCTTTGTTCCATCACTCCCTCCACCATCAGGGGGAGGTGAAAATGGTGGTACCCAGAGTGACAGGGAATGCCTCGTGGAGGAAGAGGCTTGGCTCCAGGGGAGCACTGTCAAGGGAGCACTGAAGGAAGTCCCAAATTGGGGTGTTTGCTTAACTGCCTCCCGGCGAATCTACTTCCATTGGTTGCTTCCTTGCTAGTCTTGCTCTTTATTCTGTCAGTTGGTCACCATGTTGGTCACAACACAACCCCCCCTCCCGTCACCCCCACCTTGGATGCTGCTTCTGTGGCCGGGAGGCCCGTAGCTAGTGCTCACTGCCTCTTCTCCTGAGAGATGGAGTCCATGGACCCATTTGGGCTTTTGAAAAAAAAGTTTTTGATGTTTACGCTTAGTTTTTTTTTTTTTTTTTGTGGTGGGGGGCCACTCCCAGTGGCGCTCGGGGCCACCAAAGCCACAGCCAGCCAGGCTGTGACTAGGGACAACCCCAGGGCCTCCATCCCTGCCACCGGCACCCCCATCTCGCCATCCCCTGTCTTTTGGAAGCATCATTTTCTCCGGAAGAAGCGAGCTGTAACTCTGCCTCGCATTTCTGGTACCTTTCCATTTCCTCTTCCCATTCAGCGAGGACAGACTCGGACCTCCCCTGGCTGGTGGATCAGCTGTCCCCCCATCCCTTCCCTTCCCCGCCCCAATGATCATCATCCGTTTTCTGGGATTCTCAAGAACGAAACACAAGCCATCTTCCCTCAGAGTCTCAGCACATCCCAGGAGCTGGGGGTGGGAGTCTTGGGAACCAGCCCTGCAGAATGGAGAGGAAAGGCTTCGGCCTGGGGAGGGGGTGTGCTTGCTGGCTCTGAGCTCTTAGCACCGACCGAGGCAGATGCTTCCCTGAGGATCCAGCTCACCGGGGCTGAAGCTTTGACAGAGAAGTTGTTTGGCAGGGCGAAGGCAGTCGGTGATGATGGTGGGAACTGCTCCAGAGAGAAGAGTTCAGTGAGGACAGAGAGGGATGCAAACTGACCGGCCCTGATTTTTTTTTTTGTGTTTGTTTTATTTGTTTGTTTTGTTTTTTGGGTCAACCCCCCAGCGATGCACAGGGGTTACTCCTGGCTCTGCACTCAGGAATTACTCCTGGCAGTGCTCAGGGGACCATATGGGATGCTGGGAATCGAACCTGGGTTCGTTGCATGCAAGGCAAACGCCTTACCCGCTGTGCTATTGCTCCAGCCCCGGCCCTGATTTCTTGCTGCAAAGCACCTGCTCTATCTTGTCTGTGTACTGGGGAGTTCTGGTTAAAGAAGGGAAGAGCAGACAGCCGCTCTCCGAGAGTCCTCGAGAGAAATATCTGGAATGAGCAGGGCTGCCCCGTCTCAAACTCTTCCCGCCTTCTCTAAAGCTCCTTCGCTCCCTGTTTCCCGCCTTCTCTGCCAATTCTTCACCCCTTCCTTTCCCTTCCAGAGCTTTTTCTCCCGAGTTTTTTTTTTTCCCCCTTCTTCCCCTGTGTCTTTCTTCATGACGGGGGTGGCGGGGTTACCTATGAAAGTTGATTGAAGTTGGAAGCCCAGGGAGGCAAAAGAAAACCGAGGGGCAAGAAAGGGCGGTCAAGTATAGTGCACTTTATTTCTCTCAAGTTCTTTGGAAGGGAGTGGGGGGGGGTTGAGCGGTGCCCACCCCTGTTGTGTTGGGGGCATCCGGTGGAGCGACGTCTTCCTTTGGGGAAAAGGAGATTTTTTTCTCCGGTGGGGCGGGCGAGATGCTTCTGTCCCGTGTCCCCAGCCTGGGGCATCTCATCCCAGAGTCCTTCTGGCCCTCCGACACGCCACTTCCCCATCCGTTCTCCCCAAGATGTTCCCCTCCCCCCTCCCGTTTCAAAAAACGATCACTCCCCTTTTCTACACCCCTTTTCTACTCCGATGCCTAACAGGATTTGTGAGAATAGACGAACTCAGACAGTTCGACGTGCCCTGTCGATAATTCAGCTGTGTCTTCTGAAAACCGGTCTCATTAAGAAGTGGGGGCGGGGGCGGGGTGGGGGCTGTGTGTGTGGGGGGCTCAGCCACCTCACTGACGTCCAAGGCCAGCACTGGAGCGTGGCCCTGCAGCCTCCTGGGATTGGGGCTTCCCTTCCACTTAAACTGCTTTGCTGAGGCGGTGCAGGGCAAAACCACCCAACCCCCTTGGGGCCTCAGTTTCCCTGCCCGTCTATGACATGGAAAGAATATACTACTTTTTTTTTTTCTTGTTGGTCCAGCATCACTGGGCATGCGGTATAGTCATTGTGGTTGTATTGGGTAACGTGTGCAAAAACTGCAGAAGCTCACTGCCTACCAGAGGGAGAGGGACAGACAAAGCAATTGTTTGGTCTAGACCCCCCCCTCCCCATCCCTGCCTTCCTCTCTTGCACCCCCATGTTTCTTGGTTTGGTGAGTCGTTCATGCCACCCATAATGCTTCGGTGCAAGGCTGGGAAGGGGGTGTATGGTCTCACAACTTGTTTTTTTGCATGCTTTCTTAATAAAAAAAAAAAAAAGAAGAACGTTTCTAGTTTTATCAGTGTCGGTCTCAAGTTGCCCTTTATGGGAGACGGTGGTGTGTGGTGTTCCTCATCCAGAAGTGCTCAGGGGCTACTCCTGGTGCTGAGAATGCTCAGGAGTGCTCCCAGCAAGTGCTCAGGGGACCACATGTGGTGGCAAGATGGAAACGGGGCGGCTGCGTCTAAGGCCTTACCCTTGTGGGGGGCATTTCAATCACAGGAGTTTCCTTAGGATACATTTTCAAGGTAAAAAATAACAGGACATCTACAGAAGAATCTAGAAACACCAAGAATTTCTCTTTTTCTCTTGTCTGTGTGGGGCTAGGTATCACACAGTACTTAGAAACCTCTCCCAGTGGTGTGACTCCCAGGGATTAAACCCTAATGCCAACTGTCGCCAACCATCGGAACTTGGTAAATAGGCTATAACCATCACCCCAATATCCTAGACACTAGCCGCAGCAATGTGGAATTTGTATCTAGGAACTTGAAGATGTCTCGGGGTGTCTGGACGCCTAATTATTGCTATAGCAATTATAGCAATTATTCCCTCACATCTCTCGAAGAGAAAAAATATCAATAAATAAGCAAACCCACAGCTACCATCTGTGAGACTTATTTGATGCATGTGTAGAGATTATAATAACATGGCGAGTGTCTAACAAAAGGATGCATGCATGTCTGGGTCTCAGAAGGAACCCTAAGAAAGGAAGCATTTATTTGCATCAAATATATAAATAGAATCAACTGAAGGTAGCATTGCAAAGTGAACCCAAATTCACAGGTTTTATTTTTAAATGGATTTTTTTTTTGAGCCACATCTGCCTATACTCAGGGCTTACTCCTGACTCCCTGAGCTAGGGATCAATCCTGGCAGGGCTTGGGGGACCATATGGGATGCTGGGGATTGAACTTGGGTTGGCCATATGCAAGGCAAACACCCTACCAGCTATACTATTGCTCTGGCTCCCAAACTTTCAGAAGTTTAGCACAATGATTTATATGAAAATTAGAAGGTGATAGGCATTGAATAATTTTTTTTTTTTTGCAAGTGAAAAAAATCAGAAGGAAAACTTTGTACATGGTTACGAAGGTATAGAGAAGAAAAAGGATGTGGTTGTGAATACATGAAAATAGGGTCTCTCATGGGATGTAGGCTGATCAAAATAGAAATGAATTTTAGTAAAATTTATCTTTCAAAATAAGTTGTCTGATCACATCTTCCCAAACTACCAGCATGAGCATACGATTTAGAAATATGGCCAATATCTGAAGAAATATCTAGAATGTTGCAAGCGTTATCTTTGAGTAATTGTAGAGGGTGGAGTGAGTGGTTGGGCAGAGTGGGGCCGGAAACTTCTGATATTTTATTATAAAGCTTGACTTCTCCTTAAACTCATAATCATGAGTCAGGGAGATAGCCCCAGGTATGATACTCAGCACCACATGGGCCCCTGAACAGTACCAGGAGTGATTCCTGAGCACTGAGCTAGGAGTAGCCCCTGAACATCACCGAGTGTGGCCCCCAAACAAAACAAAAATAATAAACATAGAGGCTGGAGCTTGCCCTTGAAGCCTGTGTTCCCCCTCAAAGATGTAACTCACTTGCTTGTCTAAATTTTGCTTGCTGGTTTTTTTTTTTTTTGCTTTTTGGGTCACACCCTGTGAGGCTTAGGAGTTACCCCTGGCTCTGCACTCAGGAATTACTCCTGGTGGTGCTCGGGGGACCATATGGGATGCTGGGAATCGAACCCAAGTTGGCCGGGTGCAAGGCAAATGCCCTCCCTGCTGCACTATTGCTCTGGCCTTCTTTTTTGACTTTTTCTGCTCTGATGATGCCCATATTCTCTCTTGAATGTGTATTATTCTCTTTATTCCCTCACATCTCTCGAAGAGAAAAAATATCAATAAATAAGAGAAAATAGGATAAGAACTTTCAATACAAACTATTTTGCTTCATTAAAAAAAAAAAAAGAAGAAGGGTCCAGAAGAATAGTACAGTGTAGTGCCACTTGCCTTGCACGTGGCTGACCCAGATTTGGTCCCTGGCACTCCATATGGTCCCCCAAGCCTGGCAGGAGTGAGTCCTGAGCACTCCCAGGTGTGCACACCCCCCCCCAAAAAAACCACCCCAGAACACCTAATACACCTATGATACTTTAAGGTAAAAATATATAAAAAATCCAAAACAGAGTTGATAACTTGGGCAGAAAAGACATATCGGTCATTTTTTTTGTTGTTGTTTTTTGGGTCACACCTGGCGATGCACAGGGGTTACTCCTGGCTCTGCACTCAGGAGTTACTCCTGGCGGTGCTCAGGGGACCATATGGGATGCTGGGAATCGAACCTGGGTCAGCTGCATGCAAGGCAAACACCCTACTGCTGTACTATCTCTCCAGCCCCTGTTTTGGTATTTTTATTTGTTGTGTGTGTGTGTGTGTGTGTGTGTGTGTGTGTGTGTGTGTTTTGGGGGGGGGGTGGTTCGTTTTGCTTTTGGGCCATGCCCAGTGAAGCTCAGGGGTTTCTCCTGGCTCTGCACTCAGGAATTAACTCCTCGTGCTGTGTAGGATGCCGGGGATCTAACCCAGGTCTGCTGCATGCAAGGCAAGCACCTTACCTGCTGTGCTATTGCCCCAGTCCCCTGTAATAGTATTTTTAGAGGGTCCTCAGTTCTTGTGCTTTAAATAAAAATTTTGGGGCTCTATCCTCTTGTCACTTGAAATGGGAATTTCTTGGGAAATACCTGGAACTAGAGGAGAGGGATTAGAAATTTGGGAGGTGGGTAGGGGGTGAAATCACACAGTCAGTGCTCAGGGCTTGCTCGTGACTCTGTACTCAGGACCGCTCTCACTGCCCCTGGCGGACCCTGTGAGGTAATGGAGATTGAACCTGGGCCAGCCCTTGCCCTTTGTACTGCCTCTGGCTCCTGGAGCCTTATAAAATGATAATGTTTGAGGCACAAGTCTGATGTGCAAGAAGATTAAGATGCATCGGGGAACAAGGCCACCCAGAAGCTTATGGAAAGGAAGAGAATGTTCCATTATCAGTAGGCAGAGGAAACAAGGGCGGGCACACAAGCTTCCCTGCCACTTCCGGAGTAAGATTTTCAAGGCCTTTGTCCTCTGTATTGTCACACCCAACGCTTATTTCATTGTGACGCTGGAAACTCGGAATTTCCATTTTCTTTGTCCTGTACTTAGGGATGTTCCCAGTAGCAAGCATGTGACCTTGTGCTCTGCTCTGACTCATAACTCCTTTTCCTTGGTTGACTGTTTTTTTTTTTTTCCAATACAAAATCACCACTACCGGGGCAGGAAAGATAGTACAGTGGGCAGAGCCCTTATCTTGCATGCGGCCGACTTGGGTTGGATCCTCAGCATCCCACATGGTGCCCTGAGCAAGCTAGGAGTGATTCCTGAGCACGGAGCCAGGCGTAATCCCTGAGTACTGCCAGGTGTAGCCCCCAAACACTCAGACACAGGAAAAGAAAAGGGAAAAAAACGGGTGCTTACCTTCTTGTCTTGAATGCGACTGACCCAGGTTCAATTCCTGACACCCCACAGCATCCCCTGAGCACAGCTAGGAGTGATCTCTGAGTGCAGACCCTTGAGTAAGCCCTGAGCAGTATCTGATGTGGTCCGAAAACCAAAACAAAACAAAACAAAATTCATCCCCCAACAAGACCAAAGAACGAATGATTATCTTTCATTCCGTCTAGCAGAAGTAGTTTAAAATGAAATCTGAAAAAGGATTTAGAGAAGATTTGGGGAAAAAAAAAAGCGACGGGGAACTGGAGAGTTAGCCCAAAGATCTGGAGCGCACGGTTTGCATGCTGAAGGTCTGGGTTTGAACTGCTGGGAATACCTCAGAATGTGGCCCAAAAGACAAAAATTTTGTTCTATCTTCCTCCCTCCCTTCCTTCCTTCCTTCCTTCCTTCCTTCCTTCCTTCCTTCCTTCCTTTTTTCTTTTTCTTTCTTTCCTTTTCTTTCTTCTCTCTTCTCTTTTTCTTTCTCTATTTTCTTTCTTTCATTTCTCACTTTTTCTTTTTTCTTTTTCTTCTTTCTTTCTCTTTTTTCTGTTCTCTTTTTCTCCTTTTTGTTTTTTTCTCTGTTCTCTTTCTTTTTCTTTCTCTCCTTTTTTTCTTTTTTTGCTTTCTTTCTCTCTTTTGCCCTTCCTTCCTTCCTTCCTGCCTGCCTGCCTGCCTGCCTGCTTTCTTGCTATACTCAGATATGTGATCAGGGCTAATTCCTGGCTCTGCCCAGGGACCATTTCTGGCGGGGCTTGGGAGACCATATGTAGTGCTGGGGATGAAAATTGGGTTGGCAACATGCAAGGCAAATGCCCTATCCACTGTATTAATGGCTCTAGTTCCTCTCCCACTCCCCTCTTCCCTCTCCTCTCCTCTCCTCCCCACCCCTTCCCTTCCTTTCTTCTTTTCGTACCTGGCTATGCTCAGGGCTTACTTCTGGCTTTGCATTTAGGGGTCCCTCATGGGAGAGGTCAGGGGACCATATGGAGTGCTGGTTATTGAACCTGTGTCAGCGACTGCAAGGCAAACACCCTCCCCGCTGTACCATCACTGGCCCCCAAACAAAAACAAAAATGATGAAAATCTTTTAAAACTGGGAGGATGCAAAAAAAAAAAAAGAAAAAAGCTGGAGGAGGGAGGGACTAGAGCCATATAGCACAGCGGTAGGGCGTTTGCCTTGCACACAGCCGGCCGACTCGGGTTCGATTCCTCCACCCCTCTCGGAGAGCTTGGCAAGCTACCAAGAGTATCTCGCCTGCACGGCAGAGCCAGGCAAGCTCCCCGTGACGTATTCGATATGCCAAACACAGGAACAACAAGTCTCACAATGGAGACGTTACTGGGTCCGCTAGAGCAAATCGATAAACAATGGGAGGACAGTGCTACAGACAGTGCTTTCTTTTTCTTTCTTTCTTTCCTTCCTTCCTTCCTTCCTTCCTTCCTTCCTTCCTTCCTTCCTTCCTTCCTTCTTTCTTTCTTTCTTTCTTTCTTTTTTATGTAGGAGTACTGATATTTATTCAGCCACTGATTAAGCTGAACTTTACCAGACAATGCTTTCTTTTAAAGAATTCTAGATGACGATTCCTCACCCTTTCCCTGCCATGGTCCCCTTGTGACCCTGTTCCCTTCCGGCGGTGGCCCTCCCATTGGCTTCCTGTCCCTTGCGCGTTCCCTGCATTTCTTCAGTTTCCATCCACGGCTCCCTCTGAAGGCCCATGGGGTTGCCGCGTGAGCGTTGGCTGAAACACAGAGCTCGGGAGTCTTCATGACATCACAACGGCTTAGCCTGGAATCGAAAGAGGACAAGGTCCACAAGGATTCTGAAACTGGGCATTTATTGGAAACCACACAGCAGGTCCAGAGCACTTGCCTGGACACCGGGCTCAGAGGATCTGCTCAGGGGATGGGGTGGGGGGAACATTCCAGAACCGGTCATTCGAACATGTGGGAAGGAACGGCCTCCCCGTTTTGGAGAAGCGTGCACCTGACTCCGGGCTGGTCTCAGATGTCCTCCGGCTCCTACCTCCGGGGATCTTTTCCCGAAGGGGATTGCACGCTCGTGGGTTCGCTGTATGAGTCAGTACTCCTACATTTTTTTCACACAGCTGTGCTGGCGCTGTTTCCTTCAGAAACGCCTTTGTTGGGGGCACAGCTGGTGGTGTGGGTGGGCTCCTCGCTGAACGCGGCCTCCAGGATGCCCTGCATGGACTGCCGTGCCTGTCGCCTGAAGTCCTTCCCTAGCAGGGCATAGAGGAAGGGGTTGAAGCAACTATTGGCCGTGGCCAGCGCGATGGACACATGGTCCCAGAAGAGCAGCGCTTCCCCCGAAGGCGTCTCCGGGTCCGTGAAGAGGGACAGGACGCCCACGACGTGGTACGGGGCCCAGCACGCCAGGAAGACCACCACCACCGCCACCGACACGCGCAACGTTTTGCCGCGCGACTTGTGGAAACGGCCCTGGCGGAGGCGCAGGACGAGGAGGCTGTAGCACACCACCATGATGCCAGCCGGCAGCAAGAAGCCCAGCACCAGCCTCGTGAGGGTGATGGCCACCAGCGGGGTGGCCACGTGGTGGCCGAACACGGAATGGCCCATGTAATCATACTGCCAGTACTGCGGCAGCTCCGTGCTGTAGGAGAAACGTTCAACGTCCAGCGCCAACGGCCGGGAATCTGGCAAGAGCAAAGCATCGGAGTTGTTCAGGGGAGTTCTGGGAGGGTCCGTGGGAAATGCACTAGGCATGGCAGCGGGCACCGTGGCATCGAATTGGAAAGAATGGTAGTCTGGGTAATCGAGAGAACCAAAGACACCATAGTTGTAGTTGCAGACGCTGCGGTTGCCCACGACAAAGGTCTCGCGGTACACGAACACAGGTATGCACATGATGAAGGCCGAGGCCCAGACGCAGGCACAGGTGGCCAAGGCGGTCCTCACCTTGCGGTGGTTCTGGCACCAGACGGGCTTGAGCACCAGCAGGCAGCGGTCCAGGCTGATGGCAGTCAGCAGGAAGACGCTGGCAAACATGTTGAGGACGATGACGGAGGGGATGATCTTGCACAGGAGCCAGCCATAAGGCCAGTGCTCCCGGAGTGCCAGGTGGGCCAGGGAGAAGGGCAATGAGAGGCAGCAGAGAAAGTCGGCCAGGGTGAGGTGGAGGAACCAAACCGTGTTCACCGTCCGGCGCATCTTCAGGCCCGTGATCCAGAGCACCAGCCCGTTGCCGGGAAACCCCAGCAGGAAGGTGAGGCTGAGGATGACCATGGAGAGGACCAGGGGAGGCTGAGCCAGAGGCTGTGTGTCTGTAGCGTTGCTCTCGGCTGAGAGAGACTCCATGACGGAACATCTGTGAGAAAGAGAAGCAAGAGGCTGGAGACACGTACAGCCGGGCCTGAAGCTGACTTGGGTGGGAATCCCCAACCACACAGACACAAGCCCTGAGCCCCATCGGAAGTGATCCTGGATGACCCCAAGATGTATCTCCCCACCCAAAAAAACCCCAAACACCAAAATTAACATTTCTTGGGGCTGGGAGTGGAAGTGTTGTTGCCTTTCTTAAAGCTGTAGCCAGCATGTTGGAGTGATAGTACAGTGGGGAGGGCGTTTGCCTTGCACACGGCTGACCCAGGTTCAATCCCTGGCATCCCATGTGGTTCACTGAGCACCGCCAGGAATAATTCCTGAGTGCAGAGTCAGGAGGAACCCCTGAGCATCGCTGGGTATAACCCAAAAGCACAAGGGTTACTCCTGACTCTGCACTCAGGAATTACTCCTGGCAGTGCTCAGGGGACCATATGGGATGCTGGGAATCGAACCCAGGTCAACCACGTGCAAGGCAAACGCCCTACCTGCTGTGCTATTTCTCCAGCCCCACCTTTGTACTATTTCTCTTTTTTTTTTCTTTTTGGATCACACCCGGCAATGCACAGGGGTTGCTCCTGCCTCTGCGCGCAGGAATTACTCCTGGTTGTGCTCAGAGGACCCTATGGGATGCTGGGAATTGAACCCAGGTCGGCCACGTGCAAGGCAAAGCCCTACCTGCTGTGCTATTGCTCCAGCCCTGTACTATTTCTTTTCCCAGAAACTTTTTGTTTGTTTGTTTGTTTGTTTGTTTTGGCCTCCCCCGGTATGATTTGGGGTTCCTCCTAGCTCTGTACTCAGGAATCACTCTTGGCGGTGCTCGGGGGAACATATGGGATGCCAGGGATTAAACCCAGGTCAGCTGCCTGCAAGGCAAACACCCTCCTCGCTGTACTCTTTCTTTCTCCAACCCTGTTTTTTTTTTTTCTAAAGTAAATTTTTAGAATTTTTACCTTCTCACCTATTAGTGTTAAACCACAGACACCCTTGCACTGTTTCAGTGTGTGTGTGTGTGTGAGAGTGTGTGTGTGTGTGTGGTCATTGTTTAGTGCCAGGGATCAAAGTCAGGGGTATATTAGCACGGGGTATATGCTGTACTGCTGAGACACATCCCCTAGTGTCCATTAATGTTTCTTGACTTTACATGGGACCAATCCACAATATAATCTGATCAATAAATTAAAATCTTCCACATCACGCTGTGCATATTGTTGGAAAAACTTTTCAAGTGCAATCAGGGACTCACTCAACCATAAACTGTGTGTCTCACTTGGGGGAGATGCTTGATCACCTGTGCTGAAAAAAAAAATTTTTAATTATGATAAAATCTTGGGACCTGAGGGATAGTACAATGGGTAGGGTATCTTCCTTGAACACGGCTGACCTGGGTTTGATCCCTGGCATCCCATATGGTCATCTCATATCCCATATGATCATCCCTGAGCACTGCCAGGAATGATCCCTGAGCACAGAGCCAAGAGTCAGCTCTGAGCACAGCCAAGTATGACCCCAAAACAAAACAAACAAAATATTATGATAAAATTTATATATATACACACATACATGAAATTTAGCATCGTACTGTTACAAAATTCCTTTCTTCATCCATCTTTCCTTTCTTCCCTTCCTTCCTTCCTTCCTTCCTTCCTTCCTTCCTTCCTTCCTTCCTTCTTTCCTTCCTTCCTTCCTTCCTTGATTATCTCTTTCTATCTTTCTTTCTTTCTTTCTTTCTTTCTTTCTCTCTCTCTTTTTCTTTGTTTCTCTCTCTCTCTTTCTCCCTTCCTTCCTTCCTTCCTTCCTTCCTTGATTATCTCTCTCTTTCTATCTTTCTTTCTTTCTTTCTTTCTCTCTCTCTCTCTTTTTCTTTGTTTCTCTCTCTCTCTCTTTCTCCCTTCCTTCCTTCCTTCCTTCCTTCCTTCCTTCCTTCCTTCCTTCCTTTCTTTTTCCCTCTCTCTTTCTTTCTTTCTTTCTTTCTTTCTTTCTTTCTTTCTTTCTTTCTTTCATTTTGTGGCCACACCCAGGGATTCCTCCTGGCTCTGCACTCACTAATTACTCCTGGCAGTGCTCAGGGGAAATTTTCCATTTTCATAATGGAAAATCGGGGGTCAAACCTGAGGGGGCTGTGTTTAAGGCAAGTGCTTACCCAGTGTCCTATCTCTCCAGCCCCTAGAACTTTTCCACCCTATTATCGGAAACTCTACCTGATAAACAACTCCCCACTTCCCTCTCCCTGTAGCCCCGGGCAAACCACATTCTACTTCCTTCCTATGAAGAGTAACGTAAGTGGACAGTACAATATTGGTACCTTTGTGTCTAGCTTATGTCACTTATCAAGGTTCATTCATATGATAGCTGGCGTCAGAATTTTTTTCTCTCTTTTTAATTTTTGGGTCACATCCAAGGGTGCTGGGGGCATCACATGAGGTGAGGGGATTCAAACCAAGGAAGGCCACATGCAAGGCAAGCACCATAACCCCTGTACCATCTGTCAGATCCTGGTGTCAGAATTTTTTTCCTTTCAAAGGTCAATAGGGAATATTCTACCGGGTACATGTATCACATTTTGTTGATTCTTTCAACTGTTGGATGTGTGAGTTGCTTCCCCCTTTCTGCTATTGTGTAAGCGTTGCTGGGAACATACGTGTAAAAGCAAATTGTTTTATTAGCTTTTTTTTTTCTTTTTTCCAGGTAGTATTGCTGCAATGCACTGGTAAACGGTCCTTGATGAAATACCCAGAGATGATACGAGTTTCCCTCCAACTTACCCCCAAATACTTTTCTAGCTCACTTGTCCACAATTTTATCCAGTCTAGGATCTCACTTTGCATTTGGATGTTATATATCATTTTTTTTTGGTTTTGGGGGCACACCTGGTGGTCCTCAGAGGCTGCTCCCAGTTCAGTGCTCAGAGGTCACTCCGGGTGGTGCCCAGGGAGCCCTACCACGTCGGGGATCAAACCCAGGCTTCCTGCATGTACTCCAGCCTCTGGAGCTGTCGCCTTGGTGCTGGATGTTATTTTTAAGTCCTTTCCTTTAGCTTCACTTCCCTTTTTCAGAAGATACTGACTCAGGCCCAAGAGATAGAGCAGAGGATGAGGCACTTGCCTTGTATGTGGGTGACCTGGGTTCAAATCCCACATGTAGCCCCCCAGAACCACCAGCAATGATCCCTGAGAACAGAACCCTCAGCACAGCTGGGTGTGGCCCCCAAACAGAGAACTCTGCCACCTCCCAAAGCCCCTCCCCCAAAACCCACCAAAACACTAAGTGGTTTTGGGTTCTTTTGTTCTCATGACACTGTTTTTTTTTTTTTTTGAGTCATTTCTGGCGGTGCTTTTGGCTGGCCTGTATGCAAAGCAAGTAATCTACCTGCTCCGATGCCTCACCACACACTTTTATTCTTATTTGGCTTTTTGAATCACACCCAGCGAAGCTCAGGGGTTACTCCTGGCTCTGCACTCAGAAATTACTCCTGGCAGTGCTCAGGGGAACCATATAGGATGCTGGGGATTGAATCCCGGTTGGCCATGTACAAGGCAGACGCCCTCCTTGCTGGACTATTGCTCCAGCCCCAGCACACACTTCTTTCTTAACCCTTTCTACTTTGTCTCCTACTCATCCATTAAAATCACCTCTCTGTGGAAAATGCAAACATCTTTGTCTCTGTCTTCATTCTTCATCAAATCATTCACAATGTGTGAATGATTTGATGCCTTGACTTCTTAAGACTCGCTTCCAGAGACATTATTGTGCTTACATAACTGTACCCAAGCTCAGATACTTATCTCTATAGCTCTCTTGAGCAAGTCACCGTTCCAAGCTAATCACTGTCATCACTGTCCTCCTGTTGTTCATCAATTTGCTCGAGCAGGCCCAGTAACGTCTCCTTTGGAGACTTTGTTGTCACTGTGTTTGGCATATCGAATACATCACGCGGAGCTTGCCAGGCTCTGCCGTGCAGGCGAGATCCTCTCGGTAGCTTGCCGGGCTCTCTGAGAGGGGCGGAGGAATCGAACTCGGGTCGGCCATGTTGGCTGCGTGCAAGGCAAACGCCCTACCGCTGTGCTATCGCTCTAGCCCATTCCAAGCTAATGGCATTTGGAATTCCTTGGTCAAAGCTGCTAATGGCATAACCTGAAATTATGTCCTTCACCTTTACCCCTATATATATTTTTTCCCACCTTCAATCTCTGTTGACATTCTTTTTTCCTTTTTAATAATTTTTAGATTTTTTTAGTGAATCACCATGAAGTACAGTTACAGACTTACGAACTTTCGTGCTTACGTTTCAGTCATACAATGATCAAGTACCCATCCATCCACCAGTGCCCGTTCTCCACCACCAATGTTCCCAGTATCCTTCCCACCACCATCCAGTCCACTCCCTACACCGCCCTCTGTGGCAGGCACATTCCCTTTTGCTCTCTCTCTCCTTTTGGGTATTGTGGTTTGCAATACAGGTATTAAGTGGCCATCATGCTTGGTCTATAGTCTACTTTCAGCACACATTTCTCCTCCATAGCAGGCCCTCCAAGCATCCTTTACTTGGTGGTTGCTTCTCTATCTGAGCTGCCTTTTCCCCCAGCATCTGAGGGTGGCTTCCCAGCCGTGGAATCCTCCTGGTCCTTATCTCTACTATCCTATGGTGTTAGTCTCCCATTCTGTTGCTTTATATTTCACAAGTGAATGCAGTCCTTCTATGTCTGTCTCTCTCTTTCTGACTCATTTCACTTAGCATGATACTCTCCATGTTGATCCACTTACATGCAAATTTCATGACTTAATCTTTGTTGAAATTCTTTAAAGTCAGGCTTAAACATTTTATCTTCCTTGAAACCTTCTCTTGTAATCCCAGTAAGAAATAAGTTCTTCAGCCGTTTAAATATATTTTGGCTTGTGGTTGAACAACTTTTTTCATATTCTCTCTGCAATAGCACATTTTTTTTCGGGGGGGGTGCCACACCCAGCTGTTTTCAGGACTTACTCCTGGCTCTGTGCTCAGGAATTACTCCTGACGGTGCTTGGGGGACCATACGGGATGCTGGGAATCGAACCCGGCTCAGCCTTGTGCAAGGCAAACGCCATTTCTCCAGCCCTTAAAGCTGTTCTATAAGAGATCACTAACATGTTGTTAAAGGTTGAGCCTTGTGTGCTTTTATATACATATATATATATCTGTAAAAAAATGTATTTCCCTCGAAGATTGGTTGCCTATTACTTTGAACCCCGTCAAATGTGGTGTGGTACTCTTGGAGTATGAATAGGGTATGTGATATGTTTTTTTTTTATGTTTTGCTTTTTGGGTCACACCTGGCGATGCACAGGGGCTACTCCTGGCTCTGCACTCAGGAATTACTCCTGGCGTTGCTCAGGGGACCATATGGGATGCCAGGAATCGAACCGGGGTCGGCTGCGTGCAAGGCAAATGCACTACCTGCTGTGCTATCTCTCCAGCCCCAGGGTATGTGGTATAAAGTGTCCAGAAATAGGTTCACTCGTGGGTAAGGCTTGATCTGAGTGTGTGGAGAGTGGCTGTGAGCATGGTGGCAGTTGAGTTCTGGAGGTTTTCGGCTGCTGGGGCTGTGTCCCTTGGCGTGAGGAGGGGTCTCACCTGCCCGCCTCTGGGGAGCCCTGAGTGAAACAGCCTGGCGAACAATTCTTAATATATATATATATATATGTATATATATATATATATATATGTCTCCTGCCCCCGCGCCTGGCTGTCCTCACCGGGGCCTCTTGGAGGGGGGAGGGTTGAGTTTCTCTCTCCCCCCGCCCCCGCCCTGAGCAGAGCCCCAGCAGCTGAGGACCTCCGGAGCCAGCCATGGCCATGCTGGGACCACTCTCCACATGTCCAGATGGTCCTCATGCATGAAAGAACTGGCAGAGGAACCCAGGCATGCGGGTCCCGGGGCTGAGGTCTCCAAGCCTACTCGGATTGGGACTGGGCCTTCTCCAACCAGACCCCCCCATCTTCCAGTTGGTAGGCGTCACACCCACCAGCTGCTGCCAGCGCCAGGTTGGTCCCATCAACAGCCAAGATGCAGAGACTATAAAACCCAGCTCCCGGAAGCACGCGGCTGCATTCACGGCCCCGCGACATCTTATTATCTTATTTTTCCTTTGGAAAACCTGGCAGGCTACCAAAAGTATCCTGCCTGCACAGCAGAGTCCAGCAAACTTCCCGTGTCGTACTCAATATGCCAAATACCAGTAACAATGATGGGTCTCATTCTCCGAATCCTGAAAGAGTATTGAAATGGCTCTTTTAAAATCTCAGGACTAGGAAAAAGGAGACGTTACTGGTGCCTGCTCGAGGAAATCGACGAACAACAGAATGATCGTGATCGTGATCGTGATTGTGATCATTTAAAAAAAAACCACACTTGGTGGTTCTCAGAGCTTACTCCTGGCTCTGTGCTCAGGGCTTACTCCTGGCGGTGCTCAGGGTTCTGGGGATGAATACAGGTTGGCCACATGCAAGGCAAAGAGTCCCGCCCATTAGACTATTTTATCCACTAAGAAAGCAATTTCTTCTAGCTTCCTTTGTTTGTTTTTCCCCATTCCCAATTCTTACTTTTACTGTCATGGGGTTCGCGACTTCCTTTTTGAGCAGTCCAAAGTTTATTTTTATTTTTAGCTTATTTTCTTGCTACTTGGCAGTAATTCAGCTGAACAAAAATATTGTCATTGCCATAGGGACTTTTTTTTTGGGGGGGGGAGATGCCATTCTGGGGATCGAACCCAAGGCCTTACAGAGGCAAGCACATGCTCTCCCACAGAGCCCCAGCCCCAGCCCTGTCATTGGGTCCTATGTATTTAGCAGAAGTTAAAAAAGCTAAGTCAACAAAATAATAAAGAAGTGTTTCTATTCCTCTTTTGGTAGCCCGACTTAGATATTTGAATATTATCAGAGACCTGTTTCCTGACCCAATGCTCTACCTGCCAGCTCTTGTGGTCCATTGCCTTAGTCCGGAGCACGTTGCTTTATAAATCACATTTTTGAGAATGCGGTGAATAGAATGCTCTCATTGAGAGGAAACTAGCCAGGCGTCTTCTCTTTCCTCTGTGTTGGTTTCACAGTTTCGCACACTGAAACTCAGAGCAACTAGAGAGTACACACGCCCTAGGTCTGAAGACTGTCACCCCTCTTTCTCTCTTTTTTTTTTTTCTCCTTATAGAGAATCACCAAATGGAACATCATTCCTGAAAAGAACAAGCTGAGTCCTCTGGAACTGAGCTCTATTTTAGATAGCATTTATTATGTTTTTTTTTTTCTTCTTTTTTTTTTAAATATCTGTTTTGAAGTGGAAAATTTATGAATCAGGGTTTTTATCTCTCAGAACAGGGTCATTTTTCTTTCTTTTTATTTTTTTTGATTTTTGGGTCACACCCGGTGATGCTCAGGGGTTCCTCCTGGCTCTGAACTCAGGAATTACTCCTGGCAGTGCTCAGGGGACCATAGGGGATGCCGGGGATCGAACCCAGGTTGGCTGCGTGCAAGGCAAACACTCTACCCACTGTGCTATAGCTCCAGTCCCCACAGCATCATTTCTTACACATCTTAAGAATTTTTTTGGTTTAGGGTAACATCTGACAGTACTCAGGGCTTACACCTGACTGGGCGGTCAGGAATACTCCCGACAGTGCTCAGGGGACCATATGTCAAGCCAGGGATCAAACTGGATTAGCTGCATGCAAAGCAAGTGCCTTACCTGTCATACTATTTCTCTGGCCCTGACAGAATTTAAAACCATGTCTTATATGACATAAAGATGAAAGATGACGTAAATGAATGTTCTTGGGGGAAGAGTTACAGTTGTTACTTTTTCAACTATGATAGCAAAGAAAAGTAAATTTGGGAAGCAAATATTAATGAGTAGATGAGAGAATCAATAGCCACAAGAAATGAGCAACACGTTTTAAGAAAGAAGGAAATGAGAAAAATAAGACAAAGATATATAGAGAACAATAGACTATTAGTGACTTGAAAAAACCAAACAAGGGGCTGGAGCAATAGCACAGCGGGTAGGGCGTTTGCCTTGCACGCGGCCGACCCGGGTTCAATTCCCGGCGTCCCATATTGTCCCCTGAGCACCGCCAGGGGTAATTCCTGAGCGCAGAGCCAGGAGTAACCCTTGTGCATCGCCAGGTGTGGCACAAAAAGCAAAAAAAAAAAAAAAAAAAAAACAACCAAAAAACCATAAAATGAAGCGAGGAAGCTACCTCTTAAAATATGATGGAGGGGCCGGAACGATAGCACAGAGGTTAAGGCATTTGCTTTGCACTTCACAGGCCCTGGTTTAATCCCTCATGCCACATATAGTTTCGCAAGCACCACCAGGAATGGCCTGAGTACAGAGCCAGGAGTAATCCCTGAGTAACCCTGGGTATGCCCCCCCACAAACAAACAAACAAACAAACTAATGGAAAAACACGGAGAAGGAAGAATGGCATAAAATTCGCAATTGGTTCCAGAAAGAAGCTAATAATATATGAATCCATAATAAAAGAATGAACAGATAGGGGACTAGGTAGCAGAAGAACGGAGGCCATAAAAATGCTAGGGAAGAAATAGAAATTGAGGAGAGGGAGGTTGACCGTCTACATCTACAGAACTTAAGACTTTGAGACTTCTTTTAACCCACAGATTAAAGGAAGAGCAGAACGGAGTAGTTCTCAACCCGAGCCCCACCATAAGCAAAACAAACTAGGCACAAATTATCAGGAAAATTAAATTTTTTTCTTACCCAAAGCCCGAGCCTGCGGGAGCGATGGGGACCTCTGGAGATTTCCCCTGTGGTGTTGCCTGCTCCCCACTAACCACACAGGCAAGTCATGAAGGGTGTTAGGAAATGTGCTGAGTTCTTCCTTCCTCTCTGAGTTTCTGATGATAAATCAGACCTCACACTTTGCACTCTCAGAATTCACAGAAGAGTTTCAAAAGCGAATTCTTGGAGACCAAGTTTTTTTTCACAGGAACTCGGAACTGGCAGAGAGAGAGAGAAACAGAGGGAAGGGGAGAGAAAGAGAGAAAGAGAGAGAGGGAAAGGGAGAGAAAGGGAAAGAGAGAAAAAGAAAGAGAGAGAAGAGAGAGTTTCTGGAGTGAGATTATGTCACTTCTTACTTGAGTTTTCGTGTTCTTCAGTCCCACAAAGACAAAACCAAAACCAGACCCAATGATGTAAGCAGATGGGGGGGACCCAGCCCCATGGAATGAATCGCCGCCAGCATCTTTTAAAGGGTTGATATGTGTGAGGAAATGTGCCAGGCCAAAAATCAGATGAGCTCGACTCTATTCATCTCTAGGTTGATGATCTGTTGCGAATATATAAACACTCTCCCCTCCGCACCATTGCTCCCACCCCTCACCTGCTCATCTGTAATTCTCTCATAAGCAAGGAGAGAAATTGAAAGAGGAACTGTTCCGTCTGGGTTCCTGCTCCTGCCACGCCCACGACAGGTGTATTTTTGTAGTAGTTGCTGTGGGTTAGGCAGGATCATTGCTTTCACTTATTTATTATTTTTTTGTTGGTTTGGGGGGCCTTGCCTGGTGATGCTCAGGGGTGACTCCTGGCTCTGTGCTTAGGAATTACTCCTGGTGGTGCTCAGGGGGACATAGGGGGATGCTGGGGATTGAACCTGGGTCAGCTGCATGCTAGACATATGCCTTCCCCCTGCCATGCTATCGTTCTGGTCCCCGGGTCACAGCCTTTTAGCAGCAGCCACTGCTAAAAGCCCATTGGCTTCTTTATTTGCTTTTTGGGTCACACTGGGCTATGCATAGGGATTATCCCTGGCTCTGCACTCAGGAATTACTCCTGGTGGTGCTCAGGGGACCATATGGGATGCTGGGAATCGAACCCATGTCGGCCATGTGCAAGGCAAACGCCCTTCCCACTGTGCTATGGCTCCAGCCCCACCCACTGGCTCCTGAGCTTCTGGATTCTTTTGTTTATTTGTGTGTTTGTTTATGGGCCATACCCAGTGATTGTCAGAGTGCTCTCCTGGCTCTGCACTCAGGGATCACTCCTGGCGGGACTCGGGGGTCTATATGGGGTGCTGGGGATCAAACCTGGATTGGCCACGATCAGGCCACTGCCCTAAACCATGCACTATCGCCAAGGCCCTGAAGACTTTCTTTTGTGGGGAAAAGGGGTTTGGGTCACACCTCTGCGTGCACTGGGGCTATTCCTGGCTGTGACCTCAAGACGGATCTTTGGCAGTGCTTAGGGGATCATTCATGTATAGTGCTGGGGATTTGAGTCAGGGTCAGCTACATGCAAGGTGTCTTGTCTCCTGTCTGGCTCTGAAATTCTTTCAGTGGTTTCTATTTTACTGGCTGGGTGTGACATTTTGAGTAAGAAATGCAGCTTTGACTTTCTGGTTTCTGGCACTCCTCAAAGCCCTTGGCACTTCCTAAGAATTTATTGAGAATGATGAAGGCATGTTTTGTTTCGTTGATGAAATGATTTGGACTGCACCTTGGAGATGGGTAGTCAGGAAAACAAACCAAGTGATTAGGGCCTGGACCTTACATTCTGGGGCGTCACATAGCCAATGATGCTTGAGAATCACGCTTGCCCGTGTTAGGTGCTTGGAAGATAATGTAGCGTTGGAAATTGAACCCAGGACTTCTGCGCTTGAAGCATGTGCTCCAGTTCTTCAAGGTTTCTCCCCAGCTGCTGTTTTCTTCCTTCCTTCCTTCCTTCCTTTCTTTCTTTCTTTCTTTCTTTCTTTCTTTCTTTCTTTCTTATTATTGGTGGTGGTGGTGGTGGGAGATCCTTACTTCTGACCTTCTTGGGGTTCACTCCTAGTAATGGCCAGATGACCATATGTGATATGGGAATGAAAGCAATATTGGCCACATGCAAGGCGAGCATCTTAACGTTTGTACCATCTCTTTGATCTCTCCTTTTTTTTTAATTAAAAATTAATTTTGTGGGGCTGGAGCAATAGCACAGCAGGTAGGGCATTTGCCTTGCACATGGCCGACCCGAGTTCAATTCCCAGCATCCCATATGGTCCCCTGAGCACCGCCAGGTGTAGTTCCTGAGCGCAGAGCCAGGAGTTACCCCTGTGCATTGCCGGGTGTGACCCCCTCCAAAAAAAATAAAATTAATTTTGTTTGGGGCTGGAGAGATAGCACAGTGGGTAGGGCATTTGCCTTGCACGTGGCCAAACCTGGTTCGATTCCCAGCATCCCCTGTGGTCCCCTGAGCACTGCCAGGAGTAACTCCTGAGTGCAGAGCCAGGAGTAACCCCTGTGCATCACCAGGTGTGACCCAAAAAGCCAAAAAAAAAAAAAAAAGAAAATTAATTTTGTTTGCTCCCTTCATCGCTCTTTCCTTGGTTGTTGTTGTGATGACCCATTGCACACAACCCTTGGCTGTGGTGCTCGGGCATCTCTTAGTTATGTTCCTTGCTGGGGTGTATGGCCACAACCTGCAGTTCTCAGAATCCCAAGAAGTAGAAGAGCCAGGTCCCATGGAAGAGCTTTCGGGGTCATGCTTAGTGTCGAGGGGATATGGCGGAATTTGAACTCATGACCATCGGCTTGCAAGGCAGCTGCTCTAAACTCGAGTTTCTCAAGGAATTCCAAGAGGCTCACAGGTGAAAAAGGCATAAATGAGGGCCAATAGGAAAGAGGGGGTAGGGAAGTGTCACAGGCAGGAAGCAAGGTGGAAAGAGATGCTCTAAGCCACTGCACTATTCCTACGGGCCTGAGGATTCCAACTTCTAGCTACCAGGTACCAGGTACCAGGTACCAGTACAGCTGAAGATTGTGTCAACTGCCAACAGTTAATGACTAAATCCAATGGTTTTCAACCTCTGGTCTAGAGACTGGGGCCACTTCACAGGTCTAGCACTGTAGCATCGTAGCACTGTCCTCCCGTTGTTTATCAATTTGCTTGAGCGGGCACCAGTAATGTCTCCATTGTGAGACTTGTTGTTACTGTTTTTGGAATATAGAATACGCCACGGGCTGGAGTGATAGCACAGAGGTAGGGCGTTTGCCTTGCGTGCAGCCAGCCCGGCTGAGCCGGGTTTGATTCCTCCGCCCCTCTCGGAGAGCCTGGCAAGCTACCGAGAGTATTCAATATGCCAAACACAGTAACAAGAAGTCTCACAATGGAGACGTTACTGGGCCTGCTCGAGCAAATCGATGAACAACGGGAGGACAGTGTTTGTTTGAATACGCCACGGGGAGCTTGCCAGGTTCTGCAGTGCGGGCGGGATACTCTCGGTAGCTTGTGGGGCTCTCCAAGAGGGATGGAGGAATCGAACCCGGGTCGACCGTGTGCAAGGCAAATGCCCTACCCGCTGTGCACAGGTCTAGAAAAGATGAAAGTCACTGGTCTTCTGCCTGGGTTGTAGCTGCTGGTCCACTGTCCAGTACGCAGGACAAGAGCCTGTCTGCAAAATGGATTAAGAACATCTATTTAATCAACCACACTGATGTAATGAGGCCTCCATAAAAATAAAAAAAAAGTGAAACTGGGTTTGGAGAACTTCTGAGTTGATTGCACATATGGAGATTTGGGGAGAGAGCATGCTAATAAGAGAGGATTTGGGAATTCCCTGCCTTTTCCCCATACTTTGCCATATGTAACTCTTCCATCTGGCTGTTTAGAAATGATGGCTTTAAAAAAATTATAACAAATGAGTCATTTGATATGCCACTTAATAGGTAAAGCATTTCTGAGTTCTGTGAGTCGCTCGAGAAAATGAATCAAAACCCAAGGAAGAGATGGGTTATACACCTCTGATTTATAGTCAGTGGGTGAGAAGTGCAGGTAAAAATCTGGACTTGAGGGGCTGGAATGATTACACAGTGGGTAGGGCATTTGCCTTGCACGCGGCTGACTGGGGCTGGACTCCCAGCATCCCATATGGTTCCCTGAGCACCCCCAGGAGTAATTCCTGAGTGCATGAGCCAGGAGTAACCTCTGTGCATCGCTGGGTGTGACCCAAAAAGAAAAAAATTTATAACAAATGAGTCATTCGATATGTCATTTAATAGGTAAAGCATTTCTTCTAGTTCTAGTTCACTTTTTTTTTTTGCTTTTTTTTGGGTCACACCCGGCGATGCTCAGGGGTTACTCCTGGCTCATGCACTCAGGAATTGCTCCTGGCGGTGCTCGGGGGACCATATGGGATGCTGGGAATCGAACCTGTGTCGGCCATATTGGCTGCGTGCAAGGCAAACACCTTACTCGCTGTGCTATCCACTCCAGCCCCGCATTTCTTCTAGTTCTGTGAGACACTCGAGCAAATGAATCAAAACCCAAGGAAGAGATGGTGGGAACCTCTGATTTATAGTCAGTGGGTAAGAAGTGCAGGTAAAAATCTGGACTTGAGAGGCAGGAGAGTGATAGTACAGTGGGTAGGGCGGTTGCCTTGCATGCCGGGTTCAATTCCCAGCATCCCATATGGTACCCTGAGCACTGCCAGGAGTTTTTCCTGAGTGCAAAAGCCGGGAGTAACCCTTGATGCCAGCGGGTGTGACCCAAAAAGCCAAAAAAATAAAATAAAATCTGGACTTGAGTTGGGAGTTGGTAAGTTGGAGGGCAGGAAGGCAGTCTTGTACAATCAAATGCCATCTCCAGGTTGGAATGTCAGAATAGAGAAGAGCCGAATTCTCAGACAACCGATTCCCATCCGAGAATTGTTTATTGGTGTGGGAACACTTCCCCAGACACGCTGGGAGTGAGTCCAGGAATTGCAGAGAGACTGGCTGATTGGGGGGGAATATTTGCTGTAGCTTCTCAGGAGAAAGATCAGCCACAGACAAATGACACA